AGCCAATACCACCAACAGCCGACAAACGTCGTTGGAGCGATGCACAACTGACCGATATGGTCGATCATGTGCCGATTTGGCAGTCGTTGACGACTAGATTTTGACCGTTAATGATGACTAGAGATTTGGTCATCAACGACAAGAATGCCATAGATCTGGTCGTTTTTAGCCAGATTCATCCATAGATTTGGCCGGAAGTGGCCAAATTGGCGCACAACCAGTCGGCTGTCCTCTTGAGTGGCTAGGTTGTATTTGTTAATTTTCAAACTTTTATTGTATGGGTGTCTTAGTTAAATTCTCAAATGTATGGGGTTTAAAAAAATAATTCAATAATAATAATATAATTAATATTAAAAAACAAGGGCAATTCAGTAATCTATTTAATATACCTACCAATTTATTACAATCTAAGCAAACACATTTTATATAACATTCCTAGTATTCTTCAAAGTAATCTATCTTCTCATTAATATAATATTCTCAAGCCGTTTGGTTAGGGGTAATAGAAGATGACCCCGGTTATCTATCTTAAAAACGGGATATTACTGTGTTTGGTTTTTAGATAATCAATAATTCCGGTAATCTTTCAATGTAAATAGTGTTTACTGTAGGCAAAATAGCGGGTAATCCGATTACCGAGTGGAAGGCTGTTATTTTAAAATTATCGGGGTAATCCATTTTTTATTCCCATTTTACCCTTAGTTAATTAACATTTGAAACTTTGCTAAAACATCTTAACCACAATAAAAGTTTAAAATTTAACAAAATACCTCTAACCACCCAAAACAACTGCCGGCCATCGGCCACCACTACCAGCAGTTGTCGAAATGGCTCACATCCAGCTAGATCTGGCAGGAAACGACCATATGTCAAATCTTTTATGGCATTTTTGGCTAGATCAGCGCACGGTCAGTCAGATCCGATCGATCGTGCACTGTCCAGGTCACTTTTGACGGTGGCCGACGATGGTAATCGACAGTCGCTTGGGTGATCGGGGGTATTCTATTAAATTTTAAACTTCTGTTGTGGTTGAGGTGTTTCAGCCAAATTCTCAAATGTTAAGGGTTAAAAAATAATCTAAATAATATTTTTTTTAAAGGGCAATTTAATAAAAGGTCTCACAAAATTCTTCTTTCCATTCCAACCAAATATACCAATTATTTATATCCACCAATCTAATCAAACATATATTATAAAACATTCTCCTTAATCTTCAAGTTAATCTATCTCACTAATAATCCAATCTTTTCAATAATACAATATTCTTTGAACCAAACGATCCGTCGACCTCTCCTAATAATACAACATCCTCTTAACTAAACGCACCTAAATCTAATAAATCTAAAATAGTCTTAGGAGATATTTGTCTAAGCTTATAAGCTGGTCAAACTAGCTTATAAGCTGGTCAAACTATCTTATAAGCTCTAAAATTAAGCTGACCTGTTTGTTTATAACTTTTTTGAACTTATAAGTTGAGCTTATAAGAAAAAAAAAGTTGGAGGAAGGTATTTTTTTTTTCTTATAAGCACTCTACTTATAAGTTAGTTTGATCAAATATATTATTACATTATCCTTGTTTAATTTTAAAATTTTATAGTATACCCTTATTTAATGTAATACATTTTTTAGTCATTTTATAATAAAATATACTTATAAACCATATTTTACTAAATACGTCAACTACTTATCAGTCACCTATAAATATTTTAACCATATCCATAATTGTTTAAACAAACATCCTTGATTAGCCTTTCGCTGAAGACTGACACGTTACTTTCCAGTTTCAAAGCACTTTCTTTTCATTAGTGCTAATTAAATGTAAGCAACGACAATAAAGTTTAAATTGCCTATCTATGGACCATCATCATTTTATTCAATCAAATCATAGGCTATGCTACTACTACTACTACATAAAGTAATAAATCTCATTGGGTAGGGTGGTCATAATCACCGACTTGTCCAATTAACCTGTTGTATTTCAATTAGATTTACAAAAGATTCTCTCTTCAAGACAATCATTCCATTCCTCTTTCATGAATAGAATTTGAAGTCTTTCCTTAAACTAATCACATCATTAAGGAGCCCATACATAGAATTACCGTTTTTTATTAGTAATATCGACTGTAGCTTGAGTGATTAGGGGTATTCTGTTAAATTTTAAACTTTTATTATGATTGAGGTCTTTTAACTAAATTTTTAAATGTTAGAGATTAAAAAATAATTTAAATAATATTTTTAAAAAAGACCAATTTAGTAAAATGATCTCACATAATTCTTTTATTCCGTCCAACCAAATATATCAATTATTTATACCTACCAATCTAACCAAACATATATTATAAAACATTTATTTTAATCTTCAAGTTAATCTATCTCACTCAGTAATACAACATTCTTTAAACCAAATGATCTACCGACATCTCATAATAATAAAATATTTCCTTAACTAAATGCACCTAAATGTAATAGTCTAAAATAGTCTTAATTAGCCTTTGGTTAAAGACTGACACTTTACTTTCAAGTTTCCAATCACTTTCATTTCATTAGTGCTAATTAAATGTAAGCAACTACCCTTGAACCATAAAGTTTAAATTCCCTATCTAGGACCACCATCATTTTATTCAATCAAATCATAGGCTATGCTACTACTACATAAAGTCATAAATCTCTTTGGGTAGGATGGTCATAATCCCCGACTTGTCCAATTACATTTACGAGTAATGTTATGTTTACTCACGATCTTACTAATCATCTTATTCGTCTTTGTAAATATAACACATAGTAGGGTACCATACGCATAGTACGGATACCATATATAATTTTAACAAAAGTAGTAAGACGGTTAGTAAAACTCGTGAGTAAGTATAACATTATTGTTACATCTACTCGCACCATAAAATGTTCATCATTAACCTGTTGTATTTCAATTAGATTTACAAAATATTCTCTCTTTAAGACAATCATTCCATTCCTCTTTCGTGAATAGAATTTGAAGTCTTTCCTTAAACTGCCCATACATAGAATTACCATGTTTTATTAGTAATATCAACATTCAAATCAATCACATGAATAGAATTACCCTTCGTTAGATTCTATTATGTTTTCTGTTATTACTTCGTAGAAAAGATAAAAATACCCTTAAATATTTGACTTTATAAGTTTTTTATTATTTTTTAATTAGCCAAAAATTCAAAAAAGAAAAAATAGTTAACCGAACCTAAAAAGTTAGAAGTAATTATATAGAATTGTTTAAAGTTAAATGACCTTAATATTTATTTATTTATAATATCATCAATATCTCATCACTATTATTCAATAATCTATTAAATTTATAATATTTTCATAATATATTGTTTTTTATTTTACTAATTAACATAAAATATCAATATTCCTAATTAATTAAATAAAGAAAGGTAAAGAAATTTTTTTACACTTGAACTAATAAATAATCAAGTAAAGACTTTAAGTTAACTAAATTTTAATATCTAATAAATTAATTAAAAAATAAACTATTTAAAGGTATTTTCATGTTTTCGTTAATATTAACAGAAAATACTAATAGAACATGATAAAAACCGGAAAATATCATTTTAGAAATTTTAAAACTTGACGGATGAGATAATGTCATCTTACCAAACCCGGAAAAATGTTGTTCAAACATCTCATAATGCCATAACTTACAAAACAAGTTTTGTCTAATTATTCTTAACATGACATGACATGACTCATAAACTAAAACTTTAATATATATATATATATATATATATATATATATAACTACGAGCAAATTAAAACCATATTCAAATCATTAGCTCAACAAACTACAAAAAGTTTTCCCATGAAAGTTGAAAACAACATTTACCAAATTCGTCATCCTAATCATATAATATAATCAGAAATCACACTAATTATTCCAAGAAAAATTTAATTGGTTTCCCATTGTTATTCAAAGAAGATGGCTGTTAGGATTTTAATTAATGGAACCCAGATCCACATTTTTATTTGTTATATTATATAGTATTTGTATTTGTATTACAATATATGGTAGTATAATTAAAGATCAAACATTGTTGTTGTTATTCAGCGCTGACAATCATTGGAATATGAACCCCAAACGCGGTCTTGATATTGTAAAACAAAAAACAATTATAAATTTATAATTGACTTATTATTATATGATTTGATTTTGGGCATTGCCAACTATCATGAGTACTTGTTATTATTACAAATTTAGGCACGCGTAGGAGACTCAATTATTGCCTCACTAAACTCCCATGTTTTTGCATTTTACTTTTATTTTTTATTATTATTTTGGTTTTCAATTAACCAATCCTTGTATTATTAATGTTGCGCTTATAATTTAATCTCACAATATTCTCTTGTAACTCTAATATGATAGTTGAATTGATAATTGTCATGTCATCTCTTATCACACCCAAAACATTAAATGACTTTGATTAAACACGAACAATCGTTTTTTAGGGATAAACAATTGTTCTTTTATAAGGTTATTTATGAAAGAACAACCGTCCATTCATATTGAATGATTATCTCTTATTAAAGAACAACCGTTCATTATAAATGAACGGTCGTTTGTCTCTAAGAAACGACCGTTCATTCTTAAGAAACGACTATTTATGTTTAGTCAAAGTCGTTATTTAGCGTGATAGTGTCAACTCTACTATCACGTTAGGGTTGTAAGATAAAGTTGTAAAATTGGGTTATAAATGTAATATTTTTGTCATTTTATATGGTTTACAAAAAACATTTAAATCTAGCAGTTCAAGGTTTATATATATATTCTAAGGACTTTGTTTAATTTTTAAAACATTTTTGTTTGAGAACTTTTTTTTTTTTTAAACTAATCTCTGTTTTTATCATAAAAGACAGATTAATAATATTCTCTTTTTTTCTGTAAATTAAAAAAAAAAAAAGAAGACAATTTAGTTGGTAATGGTAGTTAACTTGTGATTCTCTGAACATGTTGTGAATAATTTAGTAAACTGATTGCTTGCTGTACATGTGATGTGTAGACTAAACTCAACCGAAGTCGCCCCCACGTTTCTGTGCATATTTTCTGGCTTCACTGTATCCCCCTCTTTTCCATTTTCCACGAAACATATTGAATTTTCTTTCTTCCCTTTAACAGAAAAGGAAAAATTTTGCAGTGCCAATTGCATTGCTAACCTCTTCTTCGGTTTTCAGCTTCTGGGTGGTGCTACATTTTCCCTTTGACGTCAAGCTTTTGTCTTGGTGGTTGTTGAAGACCAGGGTAGGACTCATTTTGGACTCTTCTTGATCTGTTTGTTGCTGTAAATTTGTGTTTTTTTATTTGGCTTTTTGCTCAAAAGAGGGTTTTTTTGAACTGGGTTCTGCTTATTTTTTGGAATAGGTCTCTTTGAAGGTTGACTGGCTCTGTTCAAGAGTTGCTAGATTAGCTTGGAGAGACTTTTTGAAGAGTGTTTTTAGGGGTTTTTTTTATTGTAGATTCTTGGAGAATTTTGGCATCTCCAGTGAAATTTTCTGTAGATTTATGTTTAGTTGCATAATTTTGACATAAGATTGGATCTTTTCTTGCGCATATGGATGTGTAGCTACATTTTACGTTTCCTTTGAAACTTTAATTCAGAGGGGAAAAAAAAAAATAAAAAAAAATGAGTTCTTTGATTCCACCGGGGTCGCCTGACAATTCTCCACCAGCACCACCATCAGATTCACCAACAACCACTTCACCATCACCTACAACATCACAACCTGACCAGACCACTGACTCCCCTCCCCCTTCAACGCCTGCAACTCCTTCTACCCCTTCAGCTCCACCCCCTCAATCCCCTCCTCCAGCTGTCCCTACTGCCCCTCCCCCATCACCACCTGCATCGCCGCCGCCACCATCAACAACTCCTCCTCCAACTTCACCACCACCATCACCACCAACTGCCCCGCCTCCCTCGCCACCAACAGCACCCCCACCATCACCTCCAGCTGTTGCTTCCCCTCCCCCTGAAAATTCATCCCCTCCCCCACCAGTGGTTGTTTCTACTCCTCCTCCACAACCCACCCCATCACCTCCAACCTCTACACCTCCAACCCCTACACCTCCAACCCCTACACCTCCTCAGGTTATTGCACCTTCTCCGCCTCCTCCTGCTAATGACCCATCACCACCTTCGTCCAATTCCCCACCTCCACCTGTGTCAAACCCACCTAAAAGTGCTCCTTCACCTCCTGCGGTTTCAACTCCACCGCCTGCTTCTCAATCTGCTCCTCCACCAGTTACAAGATCACCCCCTCCATCCACATTGTCACCACCAGCTCCTTCAGTTCCCTCATCCTCTTCTCCGCCTGCAGTTTCACCTCCTGCTCCTCCAAGTAATTCATCTGCAACTGGAAGTCCTAGTGCATCACCTTTGCCATCCATTCCAACAGAGAAACCAACAGCAGAATCAACTAATCGCACTGCTGTTACAGTGAATACTTCATCCAGGAACGCAGGGGCTTTAGGCACTGGAGGTGCCGTGGCAATAGGCGTTGCAGTGGGGTTTTTGGTACTAAGTGTTCTTGTCATGGCTGTGTTGTTTGCACGGAGACAGAAGAGAAAGAAAGCTGGATCACATATTGGTTACACTATGCCTTCTCCTTTTGCATCCTCACAGAATTCAGGTTTTGTTTTGATCATTGCTCAAACATTTTTGCATTATGGCCTTGTGGTTGTTTGTACTCTAAATTTGCAGTCTTGAAGCAATTTTATTCGGATACCTATTAGCTGTATCACTAAACGCTCTATGAACTTTTTATACAGTCTTTAAACATATGGGGGTTGTATTTACTTGGTACAGAATTTTGATCTTAATACTGAAGTGCAATGACTATGTTTGAAAGCAAGAAATAAAAATTTATTTACTACTGGACTGTGTTAACCTTTCCTTTTACTGGAACTGGATTTGGAAAAATTGTACAATATATTTGTCACTGCCTATAGAAAGTTGATAACTTGTCATTTGATGCGATCATTGTTGTTGTTTATTCTGGAAATTTTGTTTGAACATGGGTTTTTGAGGGAAATATGCAGATGTTTAATGGATGCATTATGCATGATATATGTGATTGAATTTTGCAATGTTGTAAATCGGCTCAACTCCATTGAATGGCAAGTCATATTTATCTCAAGATCTTTTTGTTCTCTCCCTGGATAACCAAGTGAAGGCCAGGGGGCCATAGGATTTCCACTTTTTACCTCCAGTTTCTGTTTTTGAATTCTAAGTATGATCGTGTCTCTTCAGGGAATGACATGCTTAATTGCTACTGTTGTTTGGATGATAGGATCCATTCTTTTGAAGTCGTTATATGGCTAGCTTTAACTTAATTTAGTGAAATGAGACCATTGAAGTAAATTAGTTAAGTTGCATGTGCTTTACAGATGCAGCATTTCTGAGGCCATATTCTCCAACTCCCCTAGGAGGAGCTGGTTCCCAAAGTGGTTTCATATATTCACCACCAGAGTCGGGTGGAGTAAACAATTCAAAGTCATGGTTCACTTATGAAGAATTAGCTCAGGCCACGAATGAGTTTGCAGCACATAATGTTTTGGGTGAAGGTGGATTTGGTTGTGTATACAAAGGTGTCCTGACTGATGGAAGAGATGTAGCTGTGAAACAGTTGAAGATAGGTGGTGGACAGGGAGAGCGTGAGTTCAAAGCGGAAGTTGAGATCATTAGCCGAGTACATCATCGTCATCTGGTTTCACTAGTGGGTTATTGTATATCTGAGCATCAAAGGTTGCTTGTCTATGAGTATGTCCCGAACAATACTCTTTACTACCATCTCCATGGTAAGGCATACTTCTGATTTTTAATTTTTGAGTACGTTTTCTTCTCTGAGCATGCAAATTCATGTGTAAAACTTGCAAATAAAGTTCAGGGTCAAAGGGGTCCCACAAGAGACATCTGTATCATCTGAAACCACATGATTCATTAATATTGTACTAGAAAAAATGGTTCTTCCTAGATTAGTTCATTCTTTTTGGATTTTCATATTCCAATAATTTTTTTCATACACAGGCCTGAGAATCCATTATCACTTTGAATTTTTGCCCAAAAATAGCACCCGTATGAAAATAATCTATCAACTTTTCTGATTTGCCACGGAATTTCGCAGCTGAAGGCAGACCAGTGATGGATTGGGCAACCAGAGTCAAGGTTGCTGCCGGTTCAGCTCGTGGGATAGCTTATCTACATGAAGACTGTAATTTTCCAGCTACTCATACTTTTGGATATATTTTGCTTTTAAATACAATATATGGTTTTCCATATGGACTTTTAATTGTAAATCATAGACACTGCTATCAAGATCAGTATAAGCAACAAAACCATCCTTAATTATTGGAACAAGAATAAGATTTATTATGAATCTATTTTTATTGTTAACATTACCCAAATGTTTATGAAACACAAACTTTATCAAGGATCATTATATATACTGGAGATCATAACCTGCATGTTTTTCTTGTTTTCTTCTGGGCTTACTCTCATCTGCTTTCATTTGTATTGCTTTCTGAGACATATTCTTTTTGGTTTACCAGGTCATCCTCGCATTATTCACAGGGATATTAAGTCCTCAAACATTCTTCTTGAAAACAATTTTGAAGCTAAGGTATGAATGTTTCTGAAACCTTATTTTTTCTTGAAGATAAACAATCTGCTTTGAACTGGGTTGGGTTTATTGCTCCTAATCGTCAGTTTTACCGTGCCTTGCAGAGTTTTGATGGAATGTCAACCATATTGTGTTAAACTAAGTTTAGTTTAGCAGTATTAGACTCATAAGATGACTAACATGTCCTGTTAAATGCACTTGGCAACTGGATCGGATTTATAATTTCACCCATGTAACTTTGTAGCTAACAATTCATGTTTCTAAAAATTTGTCCATTTCTATATCAGGTTGCAGATTTTGGGCTTGCAAAGATAGCATTGGAACTGGATTCAAATACACATGTATCTACACGAGTAATGGGAACCTTTGGGTGGGTAATTTGATGTGATGGATGATCCTTGACGTCTCTTAAAGAATTAACAAACGTTCATGCTTATGTAGATATCTGATTCTGTTTTTATCTGTATCATCTGAGCATTATCAGATACTGATTGGTGGTCTTTATAGGGGTAAATTAATCAAAATTGACAGTTTAATGGTCTGTATTATGTCTATTAACAGCATGGTTTTCTTAAAAGCATTTAGCAGACATTTAAAGGTTTTTCACATCAATTAGGCTTAGAGTGACACATGTTTTGTTAAAAAGGCTGTGTATAAGGCATCTATGACTATCATACATCCTCGATGTATATTGTGCTCATATACAGTATTTGTATTTTTCTGATATTGGAGTTGTGATTTCCAGGTACATGGCTCCTGAATATGCAACTAGTGGCAAGCTGACTGAAAAGTCTGATGTTTATTCGTATGGGGTTGTGCTTTTGGAGCTAATTACAGGTCGCAAGCCTGTTGATGCCTCTCAGCCATTGGGCGATGAGAGCCTGGTTGAATGGGTAAGTTATATGAACCTCAAACCTGTGTATGCTGCCTTAAATAATATAAGAGAATTTATGGAAATAACATCAAAGTATTTATCTTCATTTTGTAACTTGATAATCTTAAAAGTAACTAGGGTAGAGAACTTCAATTCAATATAGTTACTAAATACTGACACTAATTAAGTGAATGATCAAACAAATACATAGAAGAAATTTCCTTGTATGTACTATGTAGTCCTTTTTTACTTATTGATATAAGTAGAAGTTTAAGTAATGTTTTTTCTTTCATTTGTTAGATTTAATGTAAATAAGAAAGATAGCATTTCTAGATGCTGAATACTTCTCAAGGGCATCATGCCCCACCCTGTCCCCCTTTAGTATTTTTTGACAGAAGAAGAGAGTAGGAGAGGTTGTCTAGCAAGTTTTTACACGCCACTGTTTAACATATTCATGTGTGCTTCAGGCTCGACCATTGCTTGCTGAAGCACTTGAACGTGAGGATTTTGAAGAATTGGTGGATTCAAGGCTGGAAAAGAACTATGTTGCTAGTGAAATGTTTCGGATGATTGAGGCAGCTGCTGCTTGTGTTCGTCATTCAGGTGGAAAAAGACCAAAAATGAGTCAGGTAATCAAGTTTAAATTGTAAAGAAAGTTTCATCTTCTTCACCGCATCAGTTTAATCATACAGATTTCTTTTCAGGTGGTGAGGGCGTTAGACTCGTTAGATGAGTTATCAGATCTCAGTAATGGAATGAAACCTGGCCAAAGTGAAATCTTCAATTCAGCACAACATTCTGCACAAATCAGAATGTTTCAAAGGTTGGCATTTGGTAGTCAAGACTACAGTTCAGACTTCTACAACCAATCACAGAGTAGCTGGAGAAGTCGAGAGTCTCGAGACTATGGGAATCGGAATTCCTTTATACCGTAAATGCCTCGAGAATATAGATCAACAGAGACGAGTTTAATGCTACTCTTTTGATTCACAGTTACAAATTTCCAACACATGATTGGAAATCAGAAACAGCTTGTTCCGTCAAAATGGTACCGATTCACTCGATTTTGGAATGAGATTTGAGGCCCCAGATTGAGATATTGACGCCAGGCCCCCCTGCTCGTTTCTTGTACAATCTCATTTATGCATTTTTCTTCTAATCTTTCTTCTCATCTAATACGATTAAGTTGCAGGAATGTGCCTGATTTTGTATTCTTTATTATATAGCATGACACAGCTTCAATTCATATCTGTATTTGTTAATTTGGTATAAATATATACGTTTAATAAATTTCTTAACTATTCTTCCACTCATATATTCAGCTTTAGGGATAATTGATCTTCAATAAAATTTCTCGGCCTAGGGCTAGACTGTCTCATTTAATGATTCTAAAATTTGGGACCATAATAAATTGACTACTACTTGTAAACATTCTATTCTAGAGAATCCCATTTGGATAAGGATTTCATGATGACAAAAAATCAGTGTTTTTGGAAGGAGGCCATCTTAGACATTTTAACTTTATGCATAAAGATGACAAAAGACTAATGACTACAATGGGACAGTTGGACTGTTAGAGATTATACTTACCACACTCGTGCATTAATTTCCATCTAATGTTCTTCATCTACCAAAATTCTGCCGTTCTGAATCATATATTCTCTAATAAAATCAGCCCATGAACACTCTGTAACCGTGGAGAAAGAGTGAGATGGTGATGGAACAAGAGGTGGCTGTGCCTCTGGAGTTGCATGTTGCAGCTTTGAGTGAACGCCAGAAGACTTGTAAAAATGTAAAAGGTTTTACTAGCTATGCAGGTTTGAGTGGAAGAGAGGGAAAACTGCTGGTTTGTGTGACAGGTGGGAATTCTTATTTGGCTTCTCATATTGTGAAAGAACTATTGGCTCATTCTTATCTTGTCCGAGTTATCATTCAAAACCAAGGTAGAGTAACACTTTTGCTTGTGGAAGTAAGTGACATTGACTTGTTTTTATTATATTTATTTGGCAATTCCTCTAACAGGAGATAAAATCAAGAGAGGATCCAAAGTAGAATACTTTGGTTTAGGCCATTCTACTTGCAGTCTTCAACCTAAAAAATCATGTGTTCTTACCATTTACATTCATGGAATCATTTTTGCCTCTTTAGAATCTCAGAACTGATGCCAATGATTGTTGCAGTAGTTTCTTTTTACTTATAGATCAGTTTAATTTGATTTTTCGATATTGAGCAGATGATTTTGAGGACATGAAGAGGCTTTTCAGAGAAGAAGAGATGAACCAATTAGAGAGTGTTGTGGTAGCAAAGATGGGAGATTTAGACACTCTCTGTGAAGCTTTTAGAGGCTGCCATGTTGTTTTTCACACCTCCTCCTTTATTGACCCACATGGAGTCTCTGGATATTCAGTAAGTTTTAGTATGCAATTCCACTTGACAATCTGGTTCAATATTTCAAGTCTCTAAAACCATTTAACACTGATTGGCATTTGATCCTGCGCCGCCACATAATCATTTCCAGGAACAGATGGCCTTCCTTGAAACTGAAGGAGCAAGAAATGTCATTGAAGCTTGTGGCAGGACAGCCTATGTGAAGAGATGCATATTCACTTCTTCTCTTCTTGCTTCTATCTGGAATGGTAATAACATAGACATCGTCGTCGATGAGAGTTGTTGGAGCAATGAGGAATTCTGCAGAGAAAAGAAGGTACTAGATATTTACAGGGCACTAATTTGAAACGTATAATAAGCATTATATTCATCATTTTGCATAATATATATATATATATATCATGGAATATCACAGCTTTGGCTTGCATTGGGGAAGACAAAAGCAGAGAAGGTTACTTGGAACAAGTCAAGAGAAATGAAAGTGAAGCTTGTTACAGTGTGCCCTGGACTTCTCATGGCTCCATCATTCCCAAATGCACACATTGAAACCTCTCTTCCATATCTTAAAGGTAAAATCATTGAAACATTTCAACTGATAAAAGCATATTATAAAATTCATGTGTTAATTTAAAAAGGTTAATGCAGGTGGGCAGGTGATGTTACAAAAAGGGATGCTGGCAACTTCAGATGTGAAGAAGGTAGCAGAGGCACATGTCCATTTATATGAAGCCATGGACTACGGAGCTTGCGGTCGATATCATTGCTTCGAGAGAATTATACGAAGCTCAGATGAAGCCATTAAACTTGAAACTGAGTTAAAGATGCCTGGTTTGTTATCAGAAGCACAAACAGATGAAATAGACAACAATAATAAGCTTAGCAATTCAAGACTTGCCAATTTGTTATATAGAACTTCTCAACGCTTGTCCTGCAAAGAATGAAACCCCATTACTGAACTGCAAAGCTATGCAAACACCTTGCAGAAAGAAAACAGTAGAAGATTTTGTATGAAGTAAATTATAAGATCATGTCATGATCATACAACATTGCTTACATAATAACATGATGTTGCTTTGCACTATTCATATAAAGATGATACCTACTTTCAAAGTCACATATGCTGTCCATGACTGGAGGAATATAATTATGAAGCATGGGAAATCCCTCAAAGGAGAGCATCATCGCCTTCAAAAAGTGATTTCTTAGAGAAAACTTTCTTTAGATAAGATAATCAAGAACTTTGCTTTTGTGAAATCTAGTAGATTGCAATGTGAGGATCAGATTCCTCAACTAAATTTGCACTCAATGCACCCATGTGTAAGATAATTTGTTTTTTTAATAACTGAAGGTGTCCGACCAGTTTATGTATATCTCGACTAATCTTCAATGGGAGTTATCTTACAACAATCCGCTATCATGACCTTCCAAGTAAATCATGAGACATGAGCAAATGTACTTTTGTTGTGTTCATCAGGGAAGGACTATGGGTTTGACCATTTGTAGCCACTTTGGTTCGCCCTTATCATTGGGCTACTCATGGGTGGGTCATGTGCAAGATAATTTATGTTTCACATTATAGATTTGAACTTGGGGATTTAACAATTGACATTGGGCTTGCTATTCAATGTAACGGGTGTATGACCTCACCAAGACATGAGATTTATAAGGTGTAGAATTTGTCACATCTGATATCGTTAACGAATGAGTTAGAGATTCAGTTTATACAGTTTAAATCCTTCTAATTAAATAATGACGTTTTAGATGAATGATGTTTATGTGAAGTAAATGAAACACTTATGGGTTGTTTGGTTAGGGGTAATCTCCCATTACTCTAGTAATGTCATCTTACTTATATTACTAATATTACCATGTTTAATTGTAAAGTAATATAAGATTACAGCAATCCTCTAATATCAATAATAATTACTATTAGTTATATAGATGGTAATCTGAATACTACAATTTTCTTATGTATTCGAAAATTACTTAGTAATCTTAATTTTGTTACAATTGTACCCTTAACTAATAATTTTTTTTTGAACATTATTACTCTTTTTCTGAAAACAATTTACCCAAAACACCTGAGCCACCTTCTGACCATCGTCGGTCACCGAAAAATGGCAGAATCTATCTGGCCATTGTTAACAGCTAAATACATGGAAGGATCTGGCCAGAAACAGCTAGATCGACGCACGACTGTCCAGATTCAGCCGATTGTGCATCATTCATGCCACGGCCAGCCACGACTGACGATGGTGGTCGACAGTCGATAGTGCTTGGATGAGTGGGGGTGATGTTGTTAAAATTTAATTTTTATTGTGGCTAGAGTGTTTTAGCAAAATTCTCAAATGTAGAAAGTTAAAAATAATCCAACTAATAATAAAATATTTTAAAAAAATGGTAATTTAATAATAACATACCTGTTAATTTATTTTAATCTAACCAAATACATATAATATAACATTTACAGTAATTTTTAAGTCATTTATTTTTCCATTAATATAACATTCTCAATAATACAACATTTTATTAACCAAACGCAATCTTATTATTAAATATAAAATATTTTTTTCTTTTTCAACTATAACTGTCACTGATATTACTACAGTAAAATATAATCAGAGGGTCTAAGATCCCTCTAAAACTTATATGAGATTAGGGATTTCTTAATTTTTAATCCTGTTCGTTGACATTAATATCTTGTTTCCATGATTAGTTAACTCCTCATTTCATTTTCAATCACTGGAACCTAATTCTACTTACCATACCTTTTGCATTAAATATAAATAAAAAAACCTATTGCATGATCTTAAAGGTATTACCAATAATTAAAATAATAAGACAATCAGTCGCTTACTTTACTATATTAAATTCAAATAAATGACATAATTAATTAAAATCCGTGTTATCGTAGGTGGTGTTTGTCTAAGCTTATAATCTGGTCAAACCAATTTTGAATTCCATCCTAGATCCCTCATTTTAATTTTAAAATTCCATCCTATATCATTATTTTTAACAATTTATTACCATTTTTAGTTATTTTAATAATAAAATATACTTATAAGTCATAATTATTTATCAATTACTTATAAATACTTTAACTAAACACGTAACTGCTTAAATTTTAAATGTTTATAAACTAATTTTCATAAGTTCAGCCAAACAGGCTCTTACGGTGTGGTCCTCACTTGTGTTAAAACCGGATTAGTAATAACTCATTAATGTAATTATTTTAATTTATTTTCTCATTATAAAGTTTTATTTTCTCTTGAACTCAAATTTTCTTCTTTGTTTTCATTTTATAATTTTTGTATTTCTATTAAGAGAATTTTCAATAGATATAGGTTAAATAGATATTTATTTATAAACTACTTTTAGGTGATTGAGTGGTTTGATAAAGACTCTTGGATGTATTATTCATTAAGTCTTGAGTTCGAATTCATCTTCGATTGCTAATTAGGATAATCACTGAAGCCTTTATCCAATCGATAATTTTAAGATTTCAAGAAATTAGTTGAGGTGTGCGTAAACTTAAAAACAAAACACTCTAATAAATGTTACCGCTAGTGAAAATCCCTAGGCAGTTGGTAAAAATGGAAAACTGATTAAAAAAGCCGAACTAATACGACGACGTTTTTATGAACCAATCGGTGGACAAGTCTGTAGATAGAAGAAGCAGGCGAGACGACTTCGAAGGTTAAAGAAGGTCATTCATTCAACCCTGCAGTCGTATTGTTGTTGTTGAAGAAGAAAGTGATGGGGGACGAGCGAGAAGATCCGCAGAAAATAAAGAGAATAGCAGCCGCTTCTTATGATTACGAGAACGACCCGAGATGGGCCGATTACTGGTCCAACATCTTGATTCCTCCTAACATGGCCGCTCGTGCTGACGTCATCGATCACTTCAAACGCAAGTTCTACCAGCGTTACATCGTCCGTAACTCACCGTCCCGTTTCTTCTTTTTTTTTCAACTGGTTTTTTTTTTTGTAATATTTTGTTTTTTGCTGAGTTCAAGTTGGAACTTGTTAATTTTCGTCTCGGTTTTTTCGCTTTTGTGTATGGGGTTTTTATCTGTTGTGTTTTTATGGTTTTGGGTTCTGGTCAATTTGAGATTAGTTTTCTTTGGGGACTATGTTTGATTGTTTTATGGTTTTTTGTGCTGTAATGTTGATAAATTTAGTTTAGTTAAGTTTAGTTACTAATTTATTTCCATACTTGTCATTTTCATGAGGTTGTGGATCTCATGTTTGGTTTGTTCAGTTACTTTAGCACTTTGTAGTCATTGTTCTCTGAAATGCAGTCTATTGTTTATATGTTGTAGCATTTGTTCGGATTGTTGTAAAGGTATCTCAGTTTACATTACTTTTTTGTTTCTACTCTTTTTTTTTTTTTTTTTTTTTTTTTTTTTTTTTTTTTTTTTTTTAAGTTTAGTAATAGGAATTCAGTGAGAAATTGGACGTGTGACTGTAAAATCATTCTTTTGAAAATCGTGTGGTATTGTATTTTGACAGGAAGTTGTTTTTGTCATTGTTTTTTTTTAAAAGTTTATATTGGTTTGGGGCTTTATCTTTCATATATGTTATTTTTGGGCGTTGTTTTTAATCATTTTCTTGTCTGGGATTACTTCTCAATACCAGGATCCAGAACTTGTGGTAGAGTCTATGTCTACAAGCAGTTCATCTCAACCAGCACAACCCTCTGCAGCATCCTCCAACTCATCAACTACTGCTAATGGAGCTCGACCACGCAACACAGGTACATCATTAATGATTTCTTCTTCTGAGATGAAAAAAAAGAAAAATAGAAATGAAGATTGCTGAGATTGCCGTACCTCATTTAGAATCTTATTCAAGTAATTTTCTTGTTAGGTCTGCCCCTTTTTGTTGAACTAAACTCAAATTGACACTGCAGGATCAACCACCAGAACCTCTGGAACATCAGCAACTGCAGGTTCTAATGCAACTTCCCTACGCTGGGATCGGCAAACTATACAATTTTCTGTCAATGCTTGGGTACAGTAGACTCTTACTCATTCGTATGCATATATTTACTTGTAGATGTGCATATACACACATTTTCTCAAGTTTAATTCTTCTGATTCTAGAAGTTTTAGTTAAATTTATATCATGATTGCAAATCTTTTCTTTTTCTTATTCTAGCATGTTCTGTGGACTAGAACTTATACAAGACTACTGTGATCAATAGAAAGAAAAACATCTTGATAAAATGATTGTGCTTCAGATCTTGATTATACTAATGAATCCCCTTGCATTGAAGCTTTTAGTCCAGCAATTTAGATTCCGTAAAACAACATTCATCATTAAATTAAATGGTTATGCAGTTTAAGTACAATGTAACATGTGGTGCAGATGTTTAGGATAAAAGCCTGTGCAATTTAAATTAGTTTTTCTTTAAGCATTCTTTTGATTAATGACAATGAAAAAAGAATCTGAGGGAGGTGGGAGTGCTTTCAGAATGATGAGTGTTGAATATTTTAAAAAGGGAGGTTTTCGTGGAATTAGGAATGTGTAACTCATTGAGTTGTGGAGTTAATACCGGAGACTTCTGCTTAATAATGAAATACTATTATGCCTTGAAAATTTATTCATGCAATTTCAGTCTAAAAGGGCTTTGCTTTGTGATTATACTTGCCACTAATTATATGTTTTGCTGAGCTTCATTCTGTGCTTTTCTTCTTCCAGGTTTTTGTGGTCGCGCTGTTTGCAATATTTCCTCTTGTACCAAGGCATCTCTCAAATAGGGCATATAGGCTGTCATTTATGGGCACTGCTTGTTCCTCTCTATATTCATTGTACTCACTTTATGGGGTAACATTCTTATCGCCATCATACTTTTTTATTCTTCACTTAAGGTATGCTGTTCTTCCTTTTCCATTCAGCAGTCTTAATTGTTTGCAGAGACCCAGGGCATGGAACTTGCAAGCTTTGCAAGTGTACTTTCAGTCAGTAATTGCGACCAAAGATTTTATTTACTTCATCTACTGCCTTACCTTTGTCACTTCACATCTTTGCCTTAAATGTGAGCACTGCTTGGCCTCTAAAATATTTTCACTGCGTTAAATTTTTTATCGCTCTTGAATCTGTAATAGGTGTTGTCGTTTTCCTAATATGATGAATTGATGGATGTTGACCTTTGCTGCAGTTGCTTTGATTCCCATATTATGCCGTGCTGTTGAACATGTGGCCAAGTTCTTAAGGCGTAATTTTAGCCGTTCCTCCTTGTACAGGTAAGATAACTGTGAATTTCTCTCTGAGACAGATTAGCTGTTCATTAGTTTAAATTATCATAAGCGTACTTTTTTCTGGCTATTATTTATATGCTCCACCTGTTATGGTTTGAGAACTTCTTAATCTTTGCTTAAGTATATATATTTTTGTAGTGTATTTACTTAGTAACCTAAAGGTACAATTGAAAATTCCACTTTTTATTATTTTTCTCTTTATACAACTAATAGTTAAAAATGTACAGAAGTTTCTCATTGTCTTCCATCCTGGATTTCTGACTGTTATGAAAATGAGAGATATCTACCCGATCTACTGTATTGAATATCCACAGATAACTTATAATTTTTTTTTTTTTTTTTTTTTTTTTGGGGGGGGGCCATATCTTCATCTTCGAATTGTTTAGAAGCCCATCGTGCATGGACTTTGTAGTCTAGTTTCCCGGTAAAATCTGCATAGATGTGTGTTGCTCATTATACTTCTCCTTTGCAGGAACTGGAATCCAATGCATTAGTTGAAATTCTGTAATCTTCAGTATGCATACATGAACATCCTTGTAATAATTCTAATTATTAGAAGATAGTGGCGTTAATGAATCTTCATTTTTCATAATTATTTAACATTCTATGATATAGGATATAATAATTCAATTTGAAAAGTATAATAACAAATCACTTGAAACAGTTTCAGTTCCTTCACCTTGATTTTCGGGAATCTGTATAAAAATTGATCTGATACATCATGCTGGCCTTCTAGATGAAGCAGACAGCATATCATGTTTGAGTCTTGCTTCCATTTTTGATGCAAGGGTTAAAACTGTATGATCTGATTTGTTGTATTTATGCATGAGCTTTTTTCTTATAGTTTCTTCTTTTGATGGACAGGAAGTACTTGGAAGATGCTTGTGTATGGGTGGAGTCGAACACAACTACCCTTAGCATTCTTTCCTCGTATGCCGAGATTGGACTTGGCTTTCTTCTAATCATCTCTTTGCTCTCGTAAGTTGCTCAAATCTTTTCTCCTTATGTCACCACTCTCTTGGCCTTTTTGTACATGATTTTGTACAATCAACATATTCTAATGCTTAATTATTTGTGCAGGTGGCAGCGCAATATAATACAAGCTTTTATGTATTGGCAGGTTAGGCATAGCATTTAAGATCAATGCAGTTATTCAATTTCGATTTCTATTGTCCATTTTATACAATTTTTTTGTTGTACCTATGTGGACCTATACCCATTGTGTTCTGTGGATGAGTTTTGGTTAAATACACCAAAAGACATTTATGGTTGGTGCAAAGAAAAAAAAAAAATATCTAGTAGCTATCACAGTATAACTTGATCTAACCTTGTTTTCTCTCTTTTAAATATTTCTTGCAGCTGTTAAAGCTCATGCATCATGCCCCTGTGACTGCTGGTTACCATCAAAGTGTGTGGGCCACGATAGGGAGGACTGTTAATCCAGTTGTAGAGCGTTATGCACCATTCTTGAGCACTCCAATTTCTGGTATTCAGCGATGGTGGTTCAGATAGAATTTCCAAGGAGCATGAGTAAGAAGCGGAAGATCTTACATGGGATTTGCTTGAACACGTTTTTTTTGGGAGAGAAACCGATTTTATACCATATGATATGAATTTGCCATCTTCTCTTTAGATGAATCCTTCAACTAATTACTACTTTCTTCCTTTGATATGTGTTTAATCCTGGAAAATGTCTTTCCCGACGGTTTTATGGTCAATAGTTTAACAATGATATATTCTATCTATAAAAGGGTTGTAGCAACTGATGAAATACTATTGATTTTGCAAACAAAATGAGATATTCCTACATCTCTTGCTTCTTGTAAAGCTGCTTTGCTTTCTAGGTTCCCCTTGTGAGCACAATATCTTGAATTTGGAGGTAGATGTATTTCTGTTTCTTTCTACTATTGTATGTGTATTGTCAGTTGAAACAAAATTAAACAGTGAGAACTTTGTATACAGGTTAGAATCATTAGATAGAGTAATGCTACAGTCACCGAAAATAGCGCACTGACTGACGTGGCTCAATTCTGATTGTCGATTAATATTAATTTATAATTAATCAATAATCAAGATTGCGTTACGTTATTCGAATTCGGTATGCTGCTTTTGATGAATGTATTATTTTTTCATTAGATATGGCAAGTCGGCTGGTCTGAGTAAGCCTTGTTCCTCTCCTTGACTACATCATATTTAACTTATTCTCTTTAACAACTATTGACAATAAAGCCATGATTCCAATTCATCGTGTGGACTCAAAAGGATATTTTCTACTGATTTAGCTTCACACCGAATCAAACCAAACCCACCAAGCCAATTGAGGCATTTGAAATTTTGAAGTGATGTGACAGAGAGAGAGAATACATTACCAAACCAAACCGCTGCTGATGCAGCTTTGAATAAAGACTAGTAAATGTGTCCAAATTTGACCATTTAATCACACAAATCGAGGATGACGTGTTAAAAGAAATCTACACTGATTATGCTTGATCGACCAGTGGTTTAATAAGATTTTTTTGTGTATTATTTATAAGATTTTGAGTTTAAATCTTCTCTCATTTGCAAATATAAATAATTATGAAAGTTTTTATTTAATCAATAATTTTAATGTTTTAAAAAATTAATTAAAATATACGTAAACTGGATCAAACAAACATTCGTAAAAAAAGAAAAGAAGTGACATCGAGTTTTGTGTAATTAATTGAAACTGTTTTGTATTCTTTAATGGTGCCGACTAACAGAGGATTTTAATCTAGTCGGCAAGCAATGACTAGATTAAAATCCTAGCTGTAAATGATACAAGACATTCAAACATATCAACTCAAATTTGATTACGTCTCCAACACAACTACTCTGTATTACAATTACAAGCTTCACGAATTTGTTTCCGCGACTCCACTTCAAGATCACGGTGGCGTTTCAATTTAAATTATTTTAAAGTTAGAAGCAGTCAATCAGCCGTGACATGATGGAGTCGTGATGCATGGAGAAGACAGGAGAATCTGGTGAAGCCCAGGTGGAGGAACATAAAGGTTAAGACCAATGCATGAACCCAATTCGTGGGTGGGTCCCCTGTTCCTGTTTAGCCGCACATTTGTCAAATGCGTAACGGCAACTTTTGGCTTTTGGGTATAACTTTTGTTTTGTCGTGTAATAATATTTACTGGTTTCCTCTAAATTGAGGACCCAATCCTTTCCATTTTCATGACTTCGCTCCTTCAATCCTCCACCTTAGTTTTATGAACCAGACCAAAAGCAGACATTTTTATTTTATTTATTCATTTAGAAGTATCACTGCACATTGCATTATTACATATACATACATATTTATCTCATCGGAGCCACCCACAAACACAAACACAATCTCCCGATCCAATCTCTCAGCCCCTTCGTTGTTTTGTTTCTTGATAAATCTGCTGCGAGTGATATATATATATATATAATGAATATGATGGATGATATGGAGACTAAAGCCATGCTTTCAAGAAGTTGGAATGGTACGAGTAGTAGTGTTGGTGGTAGTAGTACCAACCACCAGAGGCGGCGTCGACCCGCAGGAAAACAGCCGCCACGTCGCCAGAAATCTATCAGGCAGGATATTGGCCGCGCTGCTGCTGAGACTTATCTTGTCACCCACCTTAGCTTCACTCTTCTCCGATGTCTCGGGTACATTTTTCTTATTAATGAAAGGGGCTATCAAGTTATGTTTATTCTTAGGCATTCAGTTTAATGTTATTTTGCTTGTGATGGGTTGTGATAGAAATTCTGTTTGCAACATAAATGCTCTTTTAATCATTTATTTTGATTCAGGGTAGGTTACCGGTGGATGAATAGATTGTTTGCCCTTGCTTGTTATGCTATGTTACTTATGCCCGGTTTTCTCCAAGGTATGATTTCTTTTGAGCATACTTCTTGTTGATTGTATGGTAAACTGTTTCTTTCTCTGTATTTGATGGGGTTTTACCAACTAAAAGTGGCATCTACATTTTGAAATCATGCTCTCAACTACTCTTTGCTACACCTATACTTTCCTCATTTGCTTTTTTGATGCTTTTTGAGATTAGTTCCTTTCATGCCTTAAGTCCTCTTCTTAGTATCTGTCTTTAGGATTTATTCTGCTCTTGGCACGATTTTGTGTTGGAAATCTTATGCCATAAGAAAAGTACGCATCTAAGCAAGCTTTTTGTTATTTGACATGTAACATGAATAATTATCGTTTAGGATTCCATTAGATGCATTCAGATTAATAAGAAGTATTTGCCTTTGATCTTCTGCAGTTGCCTATTATTATTTTTTTTCTAGCCAAGTCCGGCGGAGTGTTGTTTATGGAGATCAACCGAGAAATAGGTAACGTTTAGATATTTTGCCTATATTGTGTGAACTTTTACTAGTCAAGATTTCGCTGACTCATGCTATTTCTGCCATTAAATAATAGGTTGGACCTATTTTTACCAACAACTAGTGATGGACAAAAGCCAGTTGTGGTGTTCGTAACTGGTGGAGCGTGGATCATTGGGTGAGACATTTGGACTAACTGCTCTTTTACTCGACTGTTCTTTGTAAATTTGATGTATTTAACATTAATTCACTTATTTAATTTTATCATGTAGCCTTCCAAGGGCCACCACTTAAATGTTATAAACTCAGCCATGCCTATGTTCTGACTTGAAAATTGCTGCCGAATTGACTGTAAGAGTTCTAGCAGGACTTAACTCAAATTATTCAATTGCTCCAAAGGGTCACCACTTAAATGTTATAAGCTCAGCCATGCCTATGTTCTGATTTGAAAATTGCTGCTGAATTGACTATAGAGTTCAAGCAGGACTTAACTCTATTTATTCAATGGCTCCACAGGGCTTACAATCTGATTTTGGTAGACATAATTTATCTGCAATCACAGTTATGGTAGTGAGGATATTATGCAGTATGGCTTCTGTAACCTTTTGAATTAGGGAGTACTTTTATCATTTTTGTTACAATAAATAACTGCAAAGTTACATTTCATTGGGAGCGGTCTCATGGTACCAATTGCAACTTAAGGTTTATAAGGAGAGCCTGTGCACATTTATTCAATGACAGGACAGAGAAAAAGTTATAGTTAGTTTGAGTCCTTCCTCTTGAATTTACTTTTAATGTTTGGACCAAGACATTTATGACATACTCAGGAGAAGTGCAATTCAGTTATTCCTCCTTTATTTCTGACAAGAATTGGGCAATTATTAAAAAAATGTGTTTTCTCTTGAATGTGTGCTTTTAAGATGCTTAAAAGCCACATATATTTGGTTACATTATAATTGAAGGTGCAGACTTTGCTGGTCCAACAGATTTTTGCCTTTTGTCTATAGCTGATTCCAAGTAATTATTATTATTATTATTATTATTTTTTTTTTTTTTTTTTTTGAGGCATTGTACTAACATCATTGGTTGCATTTTCATGGTATAAAGCTATTTATGTAGTCCTTTGACATTAAGTTCTCTAATATCTTGCTGGTTTAGGTACAAAGCATGGGGTTTGCTTCTGGGAAGGCAGTTGGCAGAGAGAAATATCATAGTTGCATGCATTGATTACAGGTAGTTTGTTACGTTCAGGCAGCACTAATACATTATTCAGACATACTTTTTTTAAAGAAAGAAGACAAAAGTATTTCAAGAGATTCATTGGATCTGGTACTGTTTGTGGAGATTATGAAAGTGTCCAAAGTTCTTTAATTTTGTATTAATCAATATCAAAAACGACTTAAGCAAGTCTGCCGAAACATACTTAGTTCTTGGTTTAGTCTTAACAGTTACTCTACTCAAGCATACTGAAATTTGATGTGAAAATTAATTACAAGAGCTTCTAGTGTTCTAAAATCCAAAAAATTACTTTAGCCTATATGTACTTGCAGAAATTTTCCCCAGGGAACTATCAGTGACATGGTGAACGATGTTTCTGAGGGGATCTCATTTGTTTGCAACAACATTACTGATTATGGAGGTGATCCTAAAAGGTTAAAGCTGATAACTCTTTTCTCCAGCATTCACAGTCTGATCTTCAAATTATGCCACTAATTTCTTCATGTTTACTTTTGAGTAGGATTTATCTAATGGGACAATCAGCTGGTGCACATATATCTTCTTGTGCTCTCTTGGAACAAGCAATCAAAGAATCTAGGGGAGAGAGCATCTCGTGGAGTGTTTCCCAGTTCAAAGCTTATTTTGGTTTATCTGGAGGGTAACTTTTTTACCTGTTACTTTGTTGTGATTCTGTGAATCTTGCTTACTGAACTTATGGAAATCATTTTTTTCCCCTTTGATATAAAAAAATCCTTTGAAAATGGATAATAATCACTGAAGGTTAACATGTTTTGCAAAACACCTCCTTGTTGAGACCCATCTGGTTGGCTGCTTTTGCTTACAATTAGTGTGTGAGGCTCAAGTGAAGGAGGAATAATACTCATTGTTGTCTTTATTCTGTGATTGTCTGTGGTGGTAAATACCATCTTGACACCACAATGCCAAAAAGCCATTCAAGTGGCTTTTCTTGAGTGGACAAAAATTTCACTTTCAGGGTATAGAAGAGCAAAAATGGCTTCTTTTGATATTCAACATTTCATTGGTTACTCCCATTAAAATGGTGTTGGGACATCATTAATGGTTCAGTTGTTGAACGACATGTACAAATTGTTTGCTTAATCACTGTGTTTTATTTTAAATAATGGCAGTTTGAGTTATCTGCACTTTTGTCCGTTGTGTGTTTCTACTGTGAAGCCTTTTTTTTAGCAAATAATGGTCCTTTCCTTTGTTACCGTTGTTTTTGAATGTTGTCAAAGCCATAACAAAGATATGGCCTTCAGTTTTTTCAGAAGCGACAGTACCATGTTGAGGACTTAAATGGTTTGCAAGATGCACAAGATTTTTGCTGTACATTATTGTGCCCTTACTTTTTGGCTGATATAATATGGGTATATCAAAAAGTGTTACGTTTGCTATGTCCATGATTCATGCACAATCAAATGGTCAAAGGACACTTTGACCAGTAAAAGTTTGAATAGTTATTATTCAAATTTTAGCATAATTGGTAAGGCCAACATGGGAATTTCATCATTTAGAACAATTGCTGTCAGCGGACAGTTTCTTTCACTTTTGTGCTTCTTACATGTGAGGTTTTCCTAAATGTTAAAAAATGAGGAACATGTTTTAGGCTTGATGGTGTTTAGAAGTTGCAACCAAGTAAAAGCTGTAATTTGCTTCTATATATGTTGATTGATATATTCAAGTAGTTTAAAGCTTATCTATTTCCCTTTCAAATTTGTAAACAGGTACAATTTATTTAATTTAGTAGATCACTTCCACAGTCGCGGCCTCTATCGTTCCATTTTTTTAAGGTACCCTTCAAATGATATTTTTGCAGATTATAGAACTGTATATTGTCGCCAATATTTTCCCTTGTCATATTTGTTGCCTTATATATGTTTTATATTGATATGCAATTATAGCATTATGGAAGGACAACAGTCCTTTGAACAATTTTCTCCTGAAGTTAGAGTAAAGGATCCAAGCATTAGAGATGCTATTTCTCTCCTGCCTCCTATTATACTTTTTCATGGAACCTCAGATCTCTCTATACCATCAGACGCCAGGTTAGTATGTTGTTCCTTAATTCATATGGGATGCAATTTTTAGAATGAATGTATCAACAATGTAACTTATAGAACTTGAAGTTATCAAATAGTTCCCTTCTTGTATTCTATACCATACTCATATTTTTGTTATGGAACCATAAAAGGAATAAAATAGAAAAGGTGTGTGATTGGATAGCATAAGTGTCATATCATCCTTTTCATAGAATGAATGCTGACGTAATATTCTTAATATTAAATCACACAGATACCATGCATGTCAATTGGAAGATTAGTTGCCTTCCTGCTCAAAACGTTATCAAAACAACTGCATTGTAGTGAAGATACTAATGCTAAATGTGCATAAATAGAGACTTTTATGTATGAATTTGCAATGACCAGAAAAATTGGAAACTAGAATACAACCCAATCCATCATGCTCCTGGCATCTGAATAATAATGCGTTCTTCTGCAGATTTCTAGAAATTTTCTTGCACTTTCTCATGAATTCTTGTGTGCAGTAAAACTTTTGCGGATGCTCTTCGCGGGGTGGGAGCCGAAGCTGAGCTAATTTTGTATGAAGGGAAAACTCATACAGATTTGTTTCTGCAAGTAAGTTACAGTTTTGATTTGCAATTTAATACATATCAGTTATGTAACTATTATTTCAAGTCAAAATGCTTTTTGTTGTCGCTATCATTTGGTTAGAGTACCCAGATCCCCCTTTTGTTTCTACAAGTCGGTGGTCAGTGATCATCTTTAGTTTAATGCAAATTATCCAAGCTTTCTGTAGGTGGAAATACTCGAATTAAATATTTCACTCTTGGGCAAAATTCTCCTGTTATTTACTTTTTAATAGTGAATATGAGGCTGTAAAGTATTGTCATTTGTCTTAAATAATTAAGATAATTATCTGTATGATCAAATGTATCTGGTCTTACCTTCAGATCTTCTTTCAAGTGAGAGAAAGTGGTTGCAGGGATTTCCCTCTTTATCCTATATAAATTGGTAATCTTTGAGTCAGAAAGGGTACTTAAATACTGGTTTTAGGAACTGGTTTCAAGTTCCACCATCATTGTATCCCAATTATGCACTAGTTGTCTGCCTTCTGGCATTGAGAAACATGTCTGCCTAACTTTTCAGCCATGCAATGCAGGATCCTCTTAGAGGCGGTAAAGATGATCTATTTGACCATATTGTTTCCGTGATACATGCCGATGATAAGGAAGCTCTTGCCAATGATGCTATGGCACCTCCAAGAAAACGTCTTGTTCCTGAAATTTTGTTAAGAATGGCTCACCATATCAGCCCCTTTTAGGCCTTACACTTCTCAAGGTCAATCACCATGCCATGGAGTGTTTCCAAGACCTCTCAATGTGGGGCGGTTGTATTATGCCCAATTCCTGCACCTTTATCATTTAGTCATCATTTATTGATTACTAAGCTAGTTAATTTATCCCATTTGATAGTATCATTTTGAGAGATAAATAGGTTTACCAAGTGCTTTAAAACCGTCGTGAGAAATATGAGAAATTGTTGAACTCTATTCCACTTTATTAGTCCTACCCACAAGCCAAGATAGGCTTCTTAAATGGGGGATAGTTCACCTTCAACCTTTCTCATGTTACAGATGAAAAATTTCTTCATATCTTGTTAAAGGTTTACAGAACTTGTTTTGAGGAAATTGAATATAATATCAATTCTGTCCCATCTCCAATCTTGTCTCAAATTCTCAAAGGCTGTGAATATAATATCTTGATAAGGGTCATATTGCCACCTCCATACAATTGAATCGAACCATTTCAATTGAATAATACTAGTGTTGGGACATCATTAATGGTTCAGTTGTTGAACGACATGTACAAATTGTTTGCTTAATCACTGTGTTTTATTTTAAATAATGGCAGTTTGAGTTATCTGCACTTTTGTCCGTTGTGTGTTTCTACTGTGAAGCCTTTTTTTAAGCAAATAATGGTCCTTTCCTTTGTTACCGTTGTTTTTGAATGTTGTCAAAGCCATAACAAAGATATGGCCTTCAGTTTTTCCAGAAGCAACAGTACCATGTTAAGGACTTAAATGGTTTGCAAGATGCACAAGATTTTTGCTGTACATTATTGTGCCCTTACTTTTTGGCTGATATAATATGGGTATATCAAAAAGTGTTACGTTTGCTACGTCCACGATTCATGCACAATCAAATGGTCGAAGGACACTTTGACCAGTAAAAGTTTGAATAGTTATTATTCAAATTTTAGCATAATTTGTAAGGCCTACATGGGAATTTCATCATTTAGAACAATTGCTGTCAGCGGACAGTTTCTTTCACTTTTGTGCTTCTTACATGTGAGGTTTTCCTAAATGTTAAAAAATGAGGAAAATGTTTTTAGGCTTGATGGTGTTTAGAAGTTGCAACCAAGTAAAAGCTGTAATTTGCTTCTATATATGTTGATTGATATATTCAAGTAGTTTAAAGCTTATCTATTTCCCTTTAAATTTGTAAACAGGTACAATTTATTTAATTTAGTAGATCACTTCCACAGTCGCGGCCTCTATCGTTCCATTTTTTTAAGGTACCCTTCAAATGATATTTTTGCAGATTATAGAACTGTATATTGTCGCCAATATTTTCCCTTGTCATATTTGTTGCCTTATATAAGTTTTATATGGATATGCAATTATAGCATTATGGAAGGACAAGAGTCCTTTGAACAATTTTCTCCTGAAGTTAGAGTAAAGGATCCAAGCATTAGAGATGCTATTTCTCTCCTGCCTCCTATTATACTTTTTCATGGAACCTCAGATCTCTCTATACCATCAGACGCCAGGTTAGTATGTTGTTCCTTAATTCATATGGGATGCAATTTTTAGAATGAATGTATCAACAATATAACTTATAGAACTTGAAGTTATCAAATAGTTCCCTTCTTGTATTCTATACCATACTCATATTTTTGTTATGGAACCATAAAAGGAATAAAATAGAAAAGGTGTGTGATTGGATAGCATAAGTGTCATATCATCCTTTTCATAGAATGAATGCTGATGTAATATTCTTAATATTAAATCACACAGATACCATGCATGTCAATTGGAAGCTTTGTTGCCTTCCTGCTCAAAACGTTATCAAAACAACTGCATTGTGGTGAAGATACTAATGCTAAATGTGCATAAATAGAGACTTTTATGTATAAATTTGCAAAGACCAGAGAAATTGGAAACTAGAATACAACCCAATCCATCATGCTCCTGGCATCTGAATAATAATGCATTCTTCTGCAGATTTCTAGAAATTTTCTTGCACTTTCTCATGAATTCTTGTGTGCAGTAAAACTTTTGCGGATGCTCTTCGCGGGGTGGGAGCCAAAGCTGAGCTAATTTTGTACGAAGGGAAAACTCATACAGATTTGTTTCTGCAAGTAAGTTACAGTTTTGATTTGCAATTTAATACATATCAGTAATGTAACTATTATTTCAAGTCAAAATGCTTTTTGTTGCTGCTATCATTTGGTTAGAGTACCCAGATCCCACTTTTGTTTCTACAAGTCGGTGGTCAGTGATCATCTTTAGTTTAATGTAAATTATCCAAGCTTTCTGTAGGTGGAAATACTCGAATTAAATATTTCACTCTTGGGCAAAATTCTCCTGTTATTTACTTTTTAATAGTGAATATGAGGCTGAAAAGTATTGTCATTTGTCTTAAATAATTAAGATAATTATCTGTATGATCAAATGTATCTGGGCTTACCTTCAGATCTTCTTTCAAGTGAGAGAAAGTGGTTGCAGGGATTTCCCTCTTTATCCTATATAAATTGGTAATCTTTGAGTCAGAAAGGGTACTTAAATACTGGTTTTAGGAACTGGTTTCAAGTTCCACCATCATTGTATCCCAATTATGCACTAGTTGTCTGCCTTCTGGCATTGAGAAACATGTCTGCCTAACTTTTCAGCCATGCAATGCAGGATCCTCTTAGAGGCGGTAAAGATGATCTATTTGACCATATTGTTTCCGTGATACATGCCGATGATAAGGAAGCTCTTGCCAATGATGCTATGGCACCTCCAAGAAAACGTCTTGTTCCTGAAATTTTGTTAAGAATGGCTCACCATATCAGCCCCTTTTAGGCCTTACACTTCTCAAGGTCAATCACCATGCCATGGAGTGTTTCCAAGACCTCTCAATGTGGGGCGGTTGTATTATGCCCAATTCCTGCACCTTTATCATTTAGTCATCATTTATTGATTACTAAGCTAGTTAATTTATTCCATTTGGTAGTATCATTTTGAAAGATAAATAGGCTTACCAAGTGCTTTAAAACCGTGGTGAGAAAAATGAGAAATTGTTGTACTTTATTAGTCCTACCCACAAGCCAAGACAGACATCTTAAATGGGGGATAGTTCACCTTCAACCTTTCTCATGTTACAGATGAAAAATTTCTTCATATCTTGTTAAAGGTTTACAGAACCTGCTTTGAGAAAATTGAATATAATATCAATTCTGTCCCATCTCCAATCTTGTCTCAAATTCTCAAAGGCTGTTAATATAATATCTTGATAAGGGTCATATTGCCACCTCCATACAATTGAATCGAACCATTTCAATTGAATAATACTACTCTTTTCTAGTTTATATATCGTTTTAAAAATATTACATTTATAACTTAATTTTATAATTTTTTCTTACAATAATGTGACCGTAGAGTTGACATTACCACTGAGAACTTTGACTAAACACGATATGTTATTTTTTTAAGGATAAACGATTGTTCATTTATAAGGAACGGTTGTTATATTCTTAAGAAACAATCATTCTTTCCTTCATAAGAAATGATCATAAATGAATGGTCATTCCTTCATAAGAAACAATTATTTCTTATGAAAGAACGGTTGTTTGTCTCTAAGAAATGACTATTCGTGTTTAGTTAAAATCATTTAGTGTTTGGGTATAGTGGGAGCTGATGTGACAGTCGCTAGCTCAATTGTCATTTTTGGGTTATAAAAGAAGGTTATGAGACTAAGTTGTAGGCATAATATTATTCATATCTTTTAATTTTAACAAGTGGGTGTAGCTACAAGGAATTTAGTATTTTCAAATACTAAAAAATCACATTATTAACTGAGATGAATATTGGTAAATAAATTAGGAATAACAGAATTACATATTTCAATTTTCATATACATAATAGACAGAATATTCCATAATTTTTGTTTCATTTGATCCAGAGAGAAGAATCTTTATGTAAATGCTAAAATTGTGTACTTATCTTAATCTTCCATGTTCCCGCCAAATCCCGGCAGTTAAAGGCAACGGTTACTCTTTCAAAGTTAACTGCCATGAATAAACCAAAACCCTTATCTTTCTCTGATTTTAGAAGCTGAATCTCTGGAAAACCTCTGCAATGCCAAAGATCCAATCTTTTCTCTCCCTGCTTCTGATCCTTGCATCGGTTTCCGCGTTTTCTCAGCCCACACAACCATGGAAGAAAATCACTTATCCACGCTTGTTTCCAGGTTTCTCTCCTTTTTCTCTGCCCACAAATGGAGTCCTTTATAGTTTGATGTAAAGGGTACTCCCCAAGAAAGTTTCAGAGTGTTTTTTTCTTTGATTGTTGAGAACATAAAAATGAAAGATATAGACTTCGGTTCTTCTTTTATCTATATTCTTAATTAAGTTATAAACATCTTAGTATACAGAAGACAGTTTTGACTTCATTATTATGTTTTTGGGTTTCAGCTAAAATGTCTTCAGGAAGAAGTGCTTTTAGGCTTTCAAAACCTTTGATCGGAGAAGATGGGAAAATTTATGCTTGTTCAGAGAAGACTTTGTTTGCATTTGAAAGTAATGGTTCCATTGCTTGGTCCTTGGATTTAGATTTTAAATGCAACATTGGTATGGCTCCAGTTCATGGTGGAAAAGGAAAGGTAATCAATTTGTTTGTCCTACATTAAAGAAGTCGATTCAGGACTAGTTTATAGCATTCAAGTTGCCCTAAAATCTAGTTTTGAACAACAAGCTGAAAGAACTTTTTCAGTCTGGAAACGTTTGGCACATAAAAGTTAGTTTAATACTTATGGTCCCTATGTTAAGTTTGTCAAACTTTTTAGCAATCTTGTATGATCATTGATTTATGCAAGTTGTTGGCAGATATATTTGGTTGCAGAAGACAGAGTGTTTAAAGTTGATTTTATGAAAATGGGACCTTCTGAATCTGCCACACAAGTTTTCTTTGGTGGAGGACCAGGTAAAGAGGGAGCAGGTGAAATTATTGGGCTTGCAGTGAGCACATTGAGTTCAGCCGTTTTTATTAATGTTAAAAATAGGGGACTCTTTGCATTCATGACTCATGGAGAAGTACTTTGGAGTGCTGGACCCGTGCAATACCAGTCTGACTACCATCAAGGTTGTAGGAAAACTGTTACAGATTGTTATTTTACTTCATATCCCGTGATTGATCAATGTGAGGCTAATGTATATGTAAGGTCTTTTCATCCCTAATCTTTCCATTTTTTTTTCTATAATTTGCTCTAAATATAAGATGAATTAGAATTCATCATGATTTACTCCGCACATAAGGAGGGTATCCAACATGAAGTTATTCCATGTTTCTTTTTGATCTATATATCTTTCTGACGTTTGAGGCTTTCCATTTTTTTTCATTTCAGGATTGCATATGATTTGCCTAGGACTAAACTCTCTCTGTATGGGTACCCATTTACTTATAGAGTCTTTGCATTTGCAGATATCAAACACTCAAGGTGAACTTTATTCGTTCTCAGTTCGTAGTCCTCGTTTCAATTGGATCCAGGATTTTAGTTCCTTCGACAAAGTGTTAACCATCACCTCAGGAAACAATGGTCGTTTGTATGTTACTGTATCAGTTAAGGCTTTAGTGTTTGCACTTGATGCATCTTCAGGAAATGTTTTGTGGCAGAGAAGTATTGGGCCCTTAAGTACTGTAGATTATGCACCAGTAGTTGACTCTAATGGTACGTTTGTGCTCCATGATATTCTTAACTCAGTTTACTCTTACACATCCTTTAATGACTAAATAAGCTTTCCCACCACCTTAATTGTAGTGAACTTATTCACCATCAACTCCACCTTAAGCGTCGCATACATATTTTCATCTCTCATTCCATCGTACCTTGTTATGTTATAGTGTATCTCATGGATGTAACAGGGTGGATATCTGTTGGTTCATTGGATGGCTTCCTGTACTCGTTTTCTCCAACCGGCAGTCTTCACAAATTTTCAAAATCAGATACAATGGATTCAGTGATCCAAGTTAGCCCACTTCTTGATTGTTCCGGATATGCAGTATATATATCCCAGACAAAGATGAGCGGAAAATTTATCCACACTATTGATGAATATACATATGTCTCCACAATGAAACCTGAAAGTGTAGTCTTCTCCTTGATGGTTCCAGCAACTGGGTCCATTCATTGGTCTGAAACCTATCCCGGTAATTGCGGTTTTTTTTCTGTTCAAAGTTTGATTTTCATTGGTTGATTTCATTTGCCTTCTATGTTTCCATCATACTAGAAATTATTGCTTTAGAGACTCTAAATTCTTTCAGCATTTGATGGTTGCAGGTGAATTCTCATCCTTATTATCCAAGAGTGACCTGCAACATTTTGATCTGGATGAGAGTCTTGTTCTTGCTTTTGTCACTGCTGCAAGTGAGATTTTCTCAATGCATAAAGTGTTTAATGGATGAAAATTATAAATACTAATTTGCACTGAAAACTATCTGGCCTTACTAATATAGAATAAAGGGGTCCAAGTTAACAGAAGAATAAGGAACGCACATCATATGTCAATAAAATTTGTTAATTTTATGCTTTAGTGTTACTGAACTTACATCTTGGTTCTTCTGAATGATGCAGAGACAGGCAACACATTACAATGCCGTACTACACGTAATCATTGATGTAACCACCTTTTAAAAATTTTATACTTGATAATGTGCATTGTGTTTGATTCTTCATCTGTTACAGGACAGAAGATTGCAGCTAGTTGTTCCCAAACAAAGCCTAAGCGGCCTGGTATCTACACAGGTAAGTTGCAGTATTTAAGCAATAAAGTTTTAAAGTAAATATGGGGAAAAAAAAAAAATCATGAAGTAAAGAAGTGTTATCAACAGAAGTCATTAACACTTCCTGCAGGTAACGAAAGGGCAATACTGCTGTTCCTGTTTTTCGAGTCAGTGGTCTTGTTAGTGTTAGCTGTACTTGTGAGATTCTGTTGCACATTTTGGAGGAAAAAGAAGCTGCAAGGACAAAACTTGGGAACGTTTCTGGAAAAGCGAGTAAGCTCTTCAGTTTTACTTCCTTTTTAGTCTAGCAATTCTCTTTCATTGGCAATGTTTCGGCCTTTCAGCGTTCACTCCAACTCAAGAAGAAAGCGTTCGATAGAACAATCACAGAACTTGAGCAGAAGGCTGCAGAGGAAGCAGTATCGGGTGAAGTGATTGAAAAGCTCAGTAGTTTGGTGCAAGAAAGGAAAGGCGTCGAGAGAAAGCTCTCGACAACTTACAGTTTAGGCAGGGACACTGCAGGCTCAGGTTCAAAGTCTCTCCTTCCAGTATATGATGCTAAAACCAGGAGCTATTCATTTCAAGGGCCGAAGAAAGAGAGTGTCACTATCTTTCACACTCTAAGTACTGATACATCTTCTGGCAGTACTGAAACAGAAAACAGTTGGGATTCCGAAGAAGATAAAGATGGGTCGGCAGCCAATACAAAGGCGAAAGCAAAAGCAAAAGCCCCTATTGAAGCAGACAGTTCAAGTGATGATGGGGTCATGATGCATTGCAGGAGAAGTCCATCAGAGCCGGCTTCAAGTTCCAGGGGATTCATTAGTCCATTATTTGTGGAGCAAGAGGGAGAGGTGGTGGAGTCCATGTCCATGTCGTCAAGTGTGTTAAAGAGGAGAAGAACATTGTCTTCAACCAAGTAAAAACTACACAAAATAATTTGATCACATTATGTAATGTTAATCATTTTCAAAAAAATCAAGGGATTTTTCCCATGTTCAAACCCAAGTTGAAAATGGGAGCATTTTATGTTGCTATNTTACAATGCCGTACTACACGTAATCATTGATGTAACCACCTTTTAAAATTTTTATACTTGATAATGTGCATTGTGTTTGATTCTTCATCTGTTACAGGACAGAAGATTGCAGCTAGTTGTTCCCAAACAAAGCCTAAGCGGCCTGGTATCTACACAGGTAAAGTTGCAGTATTTAAGCAATAAAGTTTTAAAGTAAATATGGGGAAAAAAAAAAAAATTCATGAAGTAAAGAAGTGTTATCAACAGAAGTCATTAACACTTCCTGCAGGTAACGAAAGGGCAATACTGCTGTTCCTGTTTTTCGAGTCAGTGGTCTTGTTAGTGTTAGCTGTACTTGTGAGATTCTGTTGCACATTTTGGAGGAAAAAGAAGCTGCAAGGACAAAACTTGGGAACGTTTCTGGAAAAGCGAGTAAGCTCTTCAGTTTTACTTCCTTTTTAGTCTAGCAATTCTCTTTCATTGGCAATGTTTCGGCCTTTCAGCGTTCACTCCAACTCAAGAAGAAAGTGTTCGATAGAACAATCACAGAACTTGAGCAGAAGGCTGCAGAGGAAGCAGTATCGGGTGAAGTGATTGAAAAGCTCAGTAGTTTGGTGCAAGAAAGGAAAGGCGTCGAGAGAAAGCTCTCGACAACTTACAGTTTAGGCAGGGACACTGCAGGCTCAGGTTCAAAGTCTCTCCTTCCAGTATATGATGCTAAAACCAGGAGCTATTCATTTCAAGGGCCGAAGAAAGAGAGTGTCACTATCTTTCACACTCTAAGTACTGATACATCTTCTGGCAGTACTGAAACAGAAAACAGTTGGGATTCCGAAGAAGATAAAGATGGGTCGGCAGCCAATACAAAGGCGAAAGCAAAAGCAAAAGCTCCTATTGAAGCAGACAGTTCAAGTGATGATGGGGTCATGATGCATTGCAGGAGAAGTCCATCAGAGCCGGCTTCAAGTTCCAGGGGATTCATTAGTCCATTATTTGTGGAGCAAGAGGGAGAGGTGGTGGAGTCCATGTCCATGTCTTCAAGTGTGTTAAAGAGAAGAAGAACATTGTCTTCAACCAAGTAGAAACTACACAAAATAATTTGATCACATCACGTAATGTTAATCATCTTCAAAAAAATCAAGGGATTTTTCCCATGTTCAAACCCAAGTTGAAAATGGGAGCATTTTATGTTGCTATCAACAGACACCATTATAGTGATTTTAGAGCTGTTGCAGTAATCAAATGGTTGGAATCTTTAGCAAAATTATTTAGCTTCGTTTTTTTGTGACCCGGGTGTCCTGACCATAATCCTTCGGCCTGAAGTAGAGACTGAATAAATCTTCTCAATGATAATCCTATTGACAATCTAGGTAGATCAAATTCAAAACTTTTTAAATAATATACTTAAGAGTCTTAATTGACCGTTATATCACCCAATGGTGGTTAATTATTAAGCTTCTTTGTATAGAGTTTTGATATACACATTTTAAACTGTTACAAAATTGTGAAAGAAGGAATGGAACGACATGTCGTTTCAGAAGTCATGATTATACCATTCTACGACATGTGGTCTAATCTAACGGGTCTGCAAAACTCATAATACGACAAATCGTCTAAAAAAAAGTCATAATACGACAACTAAAAAAGTCCAGCCTATTCTGCGACACACAGGATATTATCCCTTTCTGTGATAAAACGGAAAAGGCAAGAGAGAGACAGACAGACAGAGATCTATTATCGTTGTTCGGCTCACTAATTTGGGCCATAAACGGTCTTTCAAAGAATCAAGGTAAAATCCCTAATTTCAACTTTCTCTTATCTGTTTGGTTACTGAGAAAATTCAAGAAAAACAATGACTAACCATTTTATAGTTTCTTTTGTTTATTAAATATCCAAAATTTTTAGCTTATTTTAGTGTAACGGTTCATTTCTCTCTACTCAAGTTAAATTCCAGATTCCTTTTTTTATATATATATATATATATCTTTCTTTTAAAGTATTGTTCTTTCTGTGATATGGATATCTTTACTTGCATTGATTGAAACCCTAATCACCGTGAAAATCTTGAATGAGAAGAAATGAATTTAAATTGTAGTACTATTTGTTTAAAGCCGAAACCTTTTAAACAACTCAGCTGGAAATTACAGTTTAATTGTATTATTTGGTGACTCTGGCTTGATATTAGTAATGTGGTGTATACTGTAATGGATAGTTTTGTGTTCATTTAGAGTAGCCTTGGAGAAGTCCTAGGTGGGAATGGTATGTAATCTTTATTATGTATAACTTTTTTATCTTTCGTTTATCTAAAAATGTTACTTGGATTGGTAATTTTTGGAGTGTATAGAAATGTGACAAAGTTTTATTAGATGAAAGTATGAATGGCTTAGTAGCCATAATCTGAGACCCTCTTAATAGTTGCAGTATTTGTTCGTTTTGATTTTCTATATTCTGGGTATATTTCACTTGCATTTCATGGTTCAGTAATTTTTCCTAGAAAATTTATGAAAGTGTTTTCTAAGATGTTTGGTTTTGTTGTCTGTTGCTAGTTCAAAACTCTTTTTCCTTTGCAGGATAATCTGGGTGGTTGATGACTGGAGCTTGTAAAGTTATTGCATTTTTTTATAAGTATGGAAACGGAGGATATGCTTAAAGTTTCTGGAGACGAGAATAATGAAATTTGTGATTTAGATGATAATGTTGTTGAAGCTGATTCTCAACCTAATAATTCAGATGATATAGAAGATGAACCAAGGATTGAGAGCATGGAGCTAAATGAAAGCAATGCTGGAACTGAAGAGGGTCAGTTTATAGAGGACAGAAAACAAGACAACGATTTCATTGATGATTCATCTATTGTGCAAGTAAATGTTGAGTTGACTGAAGCTGTCAAATTGGCTGAAAAAGTTGTAGAATCAGGCTCTACAGTGCATGTTCAGAATGGCTGCCTTATTTCTTCAAATGAAAGTCCCATCCGCAACTATGTGATGGATGTTAGTTGTATCCTGTTTTAACATTTGAATCCTAACTTCTGTTTCTTTTGTGCTTCTCTGATTTTGCATAGAATAACCATTTTCAAAAGAAACTAATGCAAGGAATTTGCTTCCATATATTATCTTAATAAGTGAATTCCTCTATGCAACTTTTTATTTGCAATTTATGGTGAGCTCCTGATTTTATGATTTCCATAATATAACATGGCAGCTATGTCCGGTGTTAAGAGATCCCGGATGACATTTGAAGATGATCAACCTTCAGTGCATGTATCTTATAATTCCTTGACAAGGTCTGAGTTGGGAATAGTCATTGTTACTTAAGAAAATAAATAATGACGAAAAGTTGATTTTTTATTTCTTCTCAGATTTTTGTGGCTAATATATGTATGCTTTTTTTGGAGATAATTCTAATTAGTTAAATACTTGGTAAACTTTGTCCATTTTGCAGAGCTAGTAAGCTGAAACTTGAGGTATTATTACAGCAGTGGTCAGAATGGCAAGGCCAGCAGGGTTCGTCAGTAAATGTAAGTACATATGATAAAAATGGCAGTCTTTTATTTTTCATTTCGTTTTTCCATGTTTGGCTTCCTGCTTCTTCACAAGTTAAATGCTTCCTTATCTAAGATGAGATAGGTGAACTTTTCTTTATTACTTTTATTTTCCCAAAAGAAAATTAAAGTGGCTTGGGTGAACTAGCATGCATTGTATCTCAAGATATGTATCTTTTTTCCTTAGACAATCTATGTGAACCATTGTGAATAACATACCAATTAGACTAAATAATGTGTGATTATAATAGGACTAAATAGTATATAGCTTTTTGAAGTTTTAAGGAAATCCTAAAAACTTTAAGTATCTTTGACAATTTGTCTACTTGATGAATCTGGACAGTGTAGTCTAAGTTGACAAAATAAGTTGTAAGAATGTAGTGGCCCTAAAAGCAGAAATGGGAACTTAGTTCAACGCATCATAGAACCTAAAAATAGAAAAAGACTAAATGTTGAGTCTTGCTTCAGGCTTTTTTTCATCAGTGGCAGATTGACGAAGGGTCTTATGACAAAAGAAGTCATAAAATTGAAGTGGCCCTAAAAGCAGAAATGGTAACTTAGTTAAAAACAATCATAGAACCTAAAATATTGAAAGAGACTAAATGTTGAATCTTGCTTCAGGCTTTTATTTCTAAGTGGCAGATTGGTGAAGGTTCTTGTGCTGAGATGATCTGTAGTATCTGTTGGCTCTCTTATGTTTCTCATTTGGAGGAAAACATTATTGTTTATATAACATAAACCATCAGCTGCAATTAATGGTTAAAGTGTATCAGAAGTATGAACTCCTAAATAACCTTTGTTTCTTGAAAGTTGGGGTTGTGGGACTTGTTGCTTTATCATCAAATTTTTTTTTCATGTTGTTTCCCAAGTCTTGACCTATGAGTAATTTTTCCAATTCTTATAGGATTCAAGTGGAACTTTAGAATCTGGTGATGCAACGTATTTTCCTGCTATTCATGTTGGCACTAAGAAGGGTTCTGCAGTGGTGAGTTTCCATTTGTGTCTTTGTTTCTGAGCTGAATTAGTTTACCGGCCAATCATTAAGCTTATATTCTTTCTGTCCTGGCAAAAAAAAAAAAATCATTAAGCTTATTTTTCTTCTGTTGTTGCCCTATTGAACATTCTGGTGCAGATTACTTTTTACTGTTGGGTTAATCTTTTCATTTTGTGGACCAAGATTAGACTGAATTGATTTTTATTATCAAAAAATTTCCTCAATTTCAAGATTACTCAATAAACTTGTTTATTTTAAACAATTACATTGCATACTAGAGAACTAGTGAGGAGTTACTTAAAGCAAATCCAAGTATGAAGAAATATAATTTTGACTGAACATATAAACTTTTTAAATTTCTTTGTTTTCCCTAATCAGGTTCTCCTTCCAAAAATTCAGCTTTGCTTTTCTTATTTAAATATCTCAATAGAACTTACAAGGATATACAGTGCTTGGAAATATAAGATAAGGTATAGATTTGCGAAAACTCACTCAGAGAAGATGAAATATCTAATCTGCCAATCTCATTATTTGTACTTTACATTGTATGAAATTTCTGACAAGGATACATGTAACATTTTTTCATGTTTGCCAGTAACTTCTCTCTCAAAACAGATAAGATGTTTTTCTTAGTTCTGTTGTTTCATATTTTACATATATTTGTTTCTTTCAACTGTTCTTTTATGTGTAGTCTTTTTGGATAGACAACGAAACAAGGAATCAGCAGAATGAGGGATTCATTCCTTTGGATAGCAATAATACGCCTCTTTATGATCGTGGATATGCATTGGGTTTGACTTTAGGGGATGATTCAAGTAATTTGGAGGGGTAAATATTCACTACATTTGTACCTTTCATAGAGCTTTTTATGATTTATGGGTGGAAATATTTCATGTGATCTGTAAATGTGTAGAAATATTTAAATGGTCACTGGCATAAATTGAAATATGCAACCTTATTACATTGATTTTTCTAGGTGGAAATCTTATAGTTTTCATTTTCATGTATCTTAATGTCTGTTGACATCTCATATTTTGTAGTAATATTTTCCTCTATCTTGCAGAGGCTTGAAGATAATAGATGATCCTAGCCGTTGTTTCAATTGTGGTTCTTATAGTCATTCGTTAAAGGAATGCCCAAAACCTCGTGACAATGCTGCTGTCAATAATGCTCGACAGCAACAGAAGTCTAGACGTAATCAGAACTCTGCTTCTCGCAATCCAACTCGATATTATCAGAATTCTTCTGGTGGAAAATATGATGGCTTGAGGCCCGGTGCCCTTGATGCTGAAACACGGCAACTTTTAGGTCTTGGGGTAATGTGGTTGCTTTTTTCCTTTCCATTCTACTGATTCTTCATGAACACAAGTTTGTATGCTTCTGAGTTATTTATTTAATGTTGATATGCATGCACTAATGAATGCCTCTATGGGCATGTAATTTAGAACATAATTTCTTTCATAGTATGACCTAACTGTTTTAAGGCTCCTTATAAAACCTAAATGATTGATAAATTTAGCCCTAATTTGAGTGATTTTAGTATGAGATAGTTGGTATTCTTTATTATATGTTGAAGTTCTTTAAGTCAGTTCTCTTCACTGTACTTACAATGTAGTTATTGACATCCCTTGCTATTTTTATGCTTGTCAGGAAGTAAAACTCTGAAAACCAAGACACCCCTTTATGGAAATTTGACTTCTTTACACGTATTTATAAATGTTTAAGTGTTAAAATAGTTTTATATGTTACACAGGAGCTTGATCCACCCCCTTGGCTTAATAGAATGAGAGAACTGGGGTACCCACCAGGATATTTAGGTGAGTAAATTAACTATGCTCACTTCTTTAGTGTTCTCTGTCTTTTGATTACATTTTTCGTCATTTAGATTGTGAAATGCTTGTATTATGATGAGACCATCAGATTTGTGGTGTACAATAGGTAAGTCCAAGAGAGGCAAGTAGGGGATTATGGGATTGTTACAAGAAGATTCGGCTGAGTGAGGTGTTAAAAATTAGTTATTGGGGGGACAGATGGCAGTAATAGGTGGGATATGAGAAGAATTCTGTTAGAGAGAAAAGAGAATAAAAAGGAGGTAAAAAGGGGAGAAGGATATCTGGAAAATTGGAAGGGAAAACAGGGAACGGTGCTGACCCTTGAAGTTCAGCCTGGTTCTTGATCTTTTTTCTGTCTGTTTTGTTATTTTTCCTTTTATGTTGGATTGAGGTTGGCTAATTCCATTCTTGGTTTAGTTTTATATCCTCATCTTAGTAATATATAAAAAGATAAGTTCTGCAGTTCTGGTGTTTTAGTGTTTTAGTGTTATTCTCATTTTTTGCTTGAAATGTTTGTTCTTTACAGTGTCTGAATTGATTGAGTCAGTGGGTTCCAACAAATTGTCATTCTTGTCCTTGTTCTGTATACAAGGATGTAGTTTCATAGTTGACTTTTTAGGCCAGTGAGAGATTGGCTTGGTCTAGCTTTGTTGCTTTTTTTGTTTAGATGTGTCATAGGGTCTAGCAAGCAGAAGCTGGGAAATATTTTGGCAATTGTGGGGTAAAGGATTGCCTCGCCCAAACAAAAATTAATTCAATGGGATCTTCGTAATGAACTTTGGATTTGGCATGCTAGTTAATGCTCATGGTGTTTGGGATATCTTTCCAATCATTTAAGATGTAGGGTCATCTCTGATGATAATTTGAGGCTTTGTTTTTTCTACATTCTATATTACATGTCATTCTGTCTTATGCAAAATTATCTACTCACCAATCAGAAATAACTGAGAAGGGAGAGCATTAGACTCGAAATAAACATGTTCCGCTAACTTCAAGCAGGTTTTGGGAGGGGTACTTTTCTAAATAACTTGAAGTATCGATGCCATCGTTCTCTACTATATTTTTGTTGTCTCTGTAGTAGCATCTTTACTTGTTCCATGTTATATTAAGTTCATTTATGCTGATAACTCTTATCTTGATGTATATATATTTAGACCCAGATGCTGAGGATCAGCCATCGGGAATTACTATTTTTGCTGATGAGGAAATAAAGGAAGAGCAAGAAGATGGTGAAATTCTCGAAACAGACACTCCTGAACCACAAAAGAAAATGACTGTCAAATTTCCTGGAATAAATGCTCCACTCCCAGAAAATGCAGATGAAAGACTCTGGGCAGCTGGATCTTTAAATCCTGATCCACCTAGGGACCGATCTCACCACAGAATGAGCCATCGTACGGAATCAATGACCAGAGGACATCATTATGATCAAAGGTGGTCTAGGGATTCCAGAGATGATGGTCCTCCTGGCTGTGACCCAGTGTCTAGTTATCCTCCACGTTATGGTGGTCATGATTTTGGGCATAGCTCTCACAGTAGAAGCCCCAGCTTGGGGAGGTCCCATTCTGAGAGAGGTTGGAGGAGTCCATTGGTATATGACGATTACATGAGTGACAGTCCATACAGACGAATGTCGCCACCAGATTATGGTTTAGGCAGATATGAAAATGACGGTGATAGATACCGGGATGACTACGACCTGGGTCATTCATATCGTGGCGTTGATGAGTACGACAGGTATCACCATCGAAGTAGACGGTAGAGTAGACAATTGTTGAACATTGTTGTATCAGTAGCTTGTAAAAAAGATGCTTTTCTTGATAGACTAATACATGAGATTTTTGTGTAACCCCCATCTAGGAAGGGGACTCTTATACAGAGAATTAGACTTTATAACTTAGATGTCATAACTCTGGTTTTGGTGAATAATTTCTCTGCTCAATGCTCACACCTCTGTATTCTCTTTATATTATCTTTTTGTAATTTCAATTTTCACTAAGAAAATACTTTTGCCCAATCTCTATTTTTTCCTTAGATATCATATTTATTAACAAAAGAAAATACAAATTTAGAATATTTTTATCATTTCAGAAAGTATTTGTGCTAAAAAAATATGAATATTGAATTAATTACATGTTAGTCCTTGAGGTTTAGTCTAAGTACTGTTAGATCTAATAGAATCTGAAAGTGACAACTAGGGCGTTATTGGTTATCTACTATTTAAATTTTTTGTAAAATTAAAAATGCTCTAAAATCTTTTCTAATAGAATTATAAAATAAAATGAAATAATAACTTGTCTGTTAGTTATAAAAAAAAAAAAAAACATATAGTAAAGATACATAAATTCTTCAAACGGATGCGAAAGTGATAGTTGAACAAAGATCTAATTGTTATTTTTTGATTCTATTAGATCTTATTGTTCAAAAAAATCTTGAGTTCGAATCCTTACAATTACCAATAAGGGATAACCATTACCTATTAGAGGTTTATTTTATCGTTAACTTCAAAATGTCGAAAGATTAATTGAGATACGCGTAAATTTGCCAGACACTCTAATACGGACCAGAAGGTACACCAAAAGTTAAAAGGATTGCACCGACCTTAAGGGTAAAATAGTAGTTTTGTTAAGAACAGGTGTTAAATTTATATCCTATAAAGATCAGGAGTTCTTCTCTCACATACTACATAAACTCAAACAGAGTTATTGTCCTATTTTATTCTCCTTAAACCTTTTAAAATTAAAAAAAAGGAAGCGAGCTGGCCCACCACCATTGATCGCGACAACCGATGAGAGAAAGAGAAAAAAAAAATACCTGTCGTAACTTATTCAACAAGCAAACAGGTCTCCCTCTTTTCTTTCCTTTTAGGGTTTCGATTTTTACGCTTCTTTTTTTATTATTTTATTTTACTGTTTCACTCAATTCAATTCATACTCAAGTTTACTGTTCAACTTTTAGTATGGATATGTTGTTATTATCTGAATATCATGTTTACGTAATTTTAGCTCTAGGGTTTTTATTTTTTCGTTGAGAATCTGCAAGGTTTGTGAAATTAGGGTTTTAGTGATTAGCGTGTCCTGTGGTTTTGTTTTATTGTTGGGATTAGGGTTTTGTTTTTAAGCTCTCCGTTTTTTAGTCAATTTTAGTTTTTTCTGGTTCAGGGTTTTTAGTTTGAGAAGAGACGATGACGTTTAACTTCCCGTCCGTAGTAAAATAATAATAATAAAAGGATGTGGTTTTAGTTAGGTGTAGGTCTTAGTTAGGTGTAATTTATTGAGGTCCCTGCTTTTTTAGTTTTCAGAGGTCCCTGTATTTTAGACAATTATTTTAAAGGACCTTCATGCTACACTGCATATTTGTTAGTTTTAAATTTAGGGATACTACAGCTTGCCCTAACATTTTAAAATTCAATGAAAGAGGATATAAGTTACAATTTTTTCTATAGGGACATTTACAGTGTCTGGATGTTATATTTACATGTGTAAAAGGCATTTAAGTAATTTCATGTATAAATATACATTCTTTTCTAAAACATTACTTCACCCTTTAAGAGGTAATATCATTGGCATACACTTTATATATATATATATATATATATTTTTTTTTTTTAATGAAAAAAAGACAGAGGTTAAGAAGAAAGTTCTTATTGTTGTGAATTTCATCACTAAGGGCATTTGCATTTATTAGATGACATACTTAATTATTAGTTCCCAACACTGGGGACTTCTACATGAGTTTTGGAACTATAGGGACTTTTATTTTATTAAGTTTAAAGTTCAGTATATTATCTAAGTTTCAGGAAATGCTTGAGAAATGTTATACATAAACAGTTGAGATCTTAGATTATAGCTGATATAACATCAACATATGTGATTATAATTAATGACACATTTCAATATCATGGAAAGAAAATTGAGATCTGAAATTTGTAAGTTACTGTTACCCAAAATGCCTTAGGTTTTTATTGTTTAAATGATCCTAGAATCAGCTATATTCATGATTTAATTAGAAACAGATGTAAGTTTCCAAAGTTAACTTTACTACAGTGTTTCAGAAGTTTGTATTTCATCCCAGAAAAAGTTTCAAAAGCTTGATTTCCTGGTCCCACCTAGGTTTCATTAAAAAAAAAAAAAAAAAAAAAAAAATCAAAGCATATTCTGGGAATGAGTAAAAATTATGAGATAGAAACCGAAATCTTGAACACAATATTTTAAGTTGATCGGGCTAAACACTTTTGCATTTTTTTAAATTATCATTTTCATGATGGATAATGAGTGTAAACTGCAATAATCTGATATTGTTACGTTCATGGAAAACCAACTATGTAAAGAGGTTGCCTTGGAGGTCTTAATGTGATGAAAATTTAGTTTGAGTTTTTTATTTATTTATTTCTTCTTCTTATTTCTCTTCCCTTCCTGATCTATGGTTTACCTTGCTATTTTTTTTTATCCTGTCATAAGTGGGTGGATGTACTATTCAAATTCATGCATCTTAGAATTCAATATGAATTCAGTTGAGCCAAGAAGGTTGTCACATTTGGATATTTCATGCGAGAGATATCACTGTCTTGCTTTCAGTTACTCTCCCCTTTTTTTTGGGAGGCTAGATGGGGGTGATAAAAAGAATGAAAAACGTACTATGAGATTAGCATTCAAAACCTTGCTGAACCAATGAGTTTTACTTGTTTATTTGAGACTTCACAAAGACACAATCATGTTAACTGAACTTCTATTTTATCAATTTCTTCTCAGGAGGAATATATGAACCGATAAACTCTGAACTATCATGTGCAAATCTTATAACAAAGTAATGTGGATGATATAAACCCCATTCAACAAGTTGCCAACCATCCTACTTCCTTATCAGTGCCTCTTTGCATGACAATGTCAACCTTTGGTTTGAAACATGATTGCTGCTTAGATAGACCAAACAACCGTTTGAGTCACTTGAAAGGTTAGCCAGTTAGCTATCAACTATAACATGATTCAACATATTGATCTTTTGTATCTATGTTTTTCTAGGTTTTACTTTTATGTCTAATAATTTTATGTCAATCTGTCTGTAGGACGACCTTTTAATGGATATGAAACTGGTGCTGCCAGCTTATTCACTGATGTCCATCAGAAGAACATTTCTTCTCCTATGGGCATGAAACAGATTGGCGAGATGATTCGTTCACCTCAACAGGCTTCAACTTCAACTGTCACCACATGCTCTAGTAGAGATGGATTTTCTCTTGTTGGATCTTTTGACAGTGAACAAGTACATGATTCAAATTTGCAGATCCCACATCTTCTAGAGATGATTCCTAAAGTCTCAAACACTCTACCCAGCCTGGACATGGACTATCATCAGCCATATGTGCAGTTTGATAAGCCTGACGAGGCCAAAGAACAATGTTACATCAGTGAAAAAGTTGAATCTGGTAATTCAACAGCGGCAGAAATTCATTGTAGGAAGACTATTCTCCCATCAGGACAATCACACAGGTTTCCTGCTGCTTCAGAGAATTCTGCACCTTTTTCTAGTTCCAAGGGACTCACAAAACATGCTCCATCAAATAATCTACTGTGTTTTTCTCTTCAGCATAAGATCTTATGCACTTATATCAATTACAAGAGTTCCATGGTGCCTACAGGGGATTGCCAAGTTTCTTTTGTGAATTATTTGCATTCAACAATATGTGATGCTCACATGTGTAGATGTGAACGTTTCTACTTACTCCTATCTCACTTTGATGACTGTCACTCGTTTGAGTGTTATGTTTGTGGACCTGTTCGACATCTATGTGGTACTGGTAAACTTCACCACGAATTTAATAATACAAAACGGAATTTCAATGATATAGATTCTGGTGGGCCTAACTCTGGCAGAATGGATTGCATGGAACGTCCATCAAAGCATTTGAAAACAGAAAAAAAAGTTTGCCCCATTTCACATGAAATCGAATTTTCTTCTTTTTGGGATCCTTTGAAGGTTCAACCTTTTTATTCTGGAGCACTTCCACCCTTGCAGCAATGGCCTGAATCTCCTATATCTATTAATTCTGAGGTCAGGGAGGTGGACAGGGAACTGTTGAGGAACACTGTACAAAATTCTATTATCGATGGAGAGAATGGGAAAGACGTTGCAGGTAACTGGTGCAGGTTGAATGCCCAGAGTGTGATTACTCCCAAGGAGCATATCGTTGGTAGTAAAATGAAGGAGGTGGACCTTAGCTGTGTTAATGAAATTGCACAGACTGATTCTAGCGAGGTGAGCTTCAGCACTGAGTCTGTTCTCGGAGAAGAGCTTAGTACTCATTGTAAAGAGGATGTACCAATCTGGACTCTCAATCAGAACGAGGCGGAGATTGGAGATGAACATGTTGCACCAAAAAATGATTGTGGAACTCAACTAAAGTCAAAGAACCCCAGGATAAAGGGTATTTCTTTAATTGAATTTTTCACAGCAGAACAAATAAGGGGGCACATATCAAGTCTTAGGCAGTGGAACAGTCAGGTTTGTACATCATGTTGATTTACTGCCTTCATTAATTGGAATTACTGTTTTGTAGTTCTGTCTGAATTTGTACACGCACTAGTATTTGGCCTTAGCATTTTGTTGATTTCTTTTGTGCAAGGTCATTGGATTAGTTTTTAGTAATATTTTAATTACTTCTTAGTGAGTTTATCCTTTGTAATTTTTCTAAAACTTTAGTTGCTGCAAAATGTTTTATCATAACAAAAGTTGTTTATAAATATGAGCAAACATTAATATACTTCTGCATCTTTTTTGATATAGACTATATCAAAGGAGGGAAGGGAAAACAAAATAATCCACAAAGACAATGGGAGCCCTTGCCAGTTGTGTGGAATAGAGAAGTTTTTTCTTGCTCCAACACCAATGTATTGTTCATATTGTGGTGGTCGTATTAAAAACAACATGATCTACTACAGCGCACCAGAAGAAAATGGCATGCGACATTGTTTCTGCACTGCATGCTATAGAGAGTGTCGTGGTGGGAGTATCACATTATATGGGATTGCTATTGCCAAGACAGAGCTGGTTAGAAAGCGGAATTATGAAGAAACTGAAGAATCGGTAAGCCAAGTCTTGATGCATTTGTTTTGCTGGATCTAAGAAATTATGGAAGATTCACTCCCTGTGCCTTTTGTGTTCTTGCAGTGGGTTCAGTGTGATAATTGTCAAGGCTGGCAACACCAGATATGTGCTCTGTTTAATAACAAAAGAGATATGAAAGGAGAAGCTGAGTACATGTGTCCGAAATGCTGCTTAGAAAAAATAGAAACTGATGATTGTTTACCCTTACCAAAGAACACCTTTTTTGGTGCAAAAGATCTACCTTGTACCATGCTTAGCGACCACATAGAGCAGAGACTCTTTAAGCGTCTCCATCAGGAAAGAGAAAAGAAAGCAAAGTTAACTGGGAAGAACCTTGACGAGGTAAGTTGCCAACTGGGCTTGAGGGTCATAAATCTTTTGCCTTATTTGTGGTAATTATTAATATGGGCAGCATTTTCTAATATTCATATATCCATCATGAATTACTGAAATTTTTTTAAAACGAAAGTGATTTGATTGTCATTGATGAATGACAACTGGTCCATGTCTAAAACATACATTCTTTTAAATGATAAGAAACAACAACTTATAAAAGGAAAAGCTACACTATTCCAATCATTTAACCCTGAGAAAAGAGTAAATCTTATTCGCAAGTTAAGTTGTAGTTTGTAGTTTAAAAAAAGGTCAACTTACATCATATGTCTCTATCATCAAATTATCTGTTCAATTTTAGTGATATAGCTCATTTTCATAGTATAATGAATTTAGTTTACTTGGAAATATACTTTATTGCTCTCCAAGATTTGTTTCTTTCAGTAATCAAATAGTACACCCAGCAATTACTTTTTGTTGTTTTTCGTTTGTGCTTTTCGTGTTACATAATCTCTCTTTTTAGTCTCAACGGTTCATTATAGCTGCCTGATTGATAATATATAATGCTGTTTGATTACTAGGTTCCAAGAGCAGAAGATCTTGCTGTTAGAGTGGTATTATCTGTTGATAAGCTGTTAAAAGCAAAGCCGAAGTTTTTAGAAATCTTTCAGGATGAGAATTATCCTACTGAATTCCCATACAGATCAAAGGTGAGATGGATTTTTAGTTAAGTGCTTTGTATGCTAATGCTTTTGCTTCTGTCATTGTCTTTCCACAATTAGAATTGCCTCGTTTTTTCTTCTTAAAGTTTTATGACATTCAACAATGTAATGAGATAGCACTGAATTTCTCAAGTTTTTGGAAATGGACTTCTCCCTCCATTTGTTACATGCATTGAAGGGAACAAAACCTCAAGGGAGGGTAGTCATGATGCCCAGACACCTGTAGAAGTTTACTTTATGTTGTTTATATTATATGCTCCTCTTGTTTCCTTTATTAGTTGATAGAGAAAATTAGCCATGTCCTTCCATTTCAGGTGATTCTTTTGTTCCAGACGATTGACGGAGTAGATATTTGCCTTTTTAGCATGTATGTCCAGGAGTATGGCTCCGAATGTGGCTACCCAAACCAACGCTGTGTCTATATCTCATATCTTGATTCAGTCAAGTACTTTAGACCTGAGACACAAACATCAACTGGAGAATCTCTTCGTACCTTTGTTTACCATGAAATTTTGGTATATTATTTTATTTCTTAATTTACTTGCTTGATTTCTTAAAATATCAATGCATCTAGTTTAATAAAAAGAATTGACCGCTTACACTACTTTTATTGCCATCATCAGATAGGATATCTTGAATACTGTAAAAAACGAGGTTTTGGAACCTGCTACATATGGGCCTGTCCTCCTGTAAAGGGAGAAGATTATATTTTATACTGCCATCCGGAGACTCAGAAGACTCCCAAGTCAGATAAGCTGCGGCAATGGTTGGCCTCTCTATCTCTCTCTAAAGATTTTCCTCCATATCATGATGTTTAGTTGCACTCTAGTACTTCACATGCAACCTAACCTTTTCTGGCCACTCTGAACACTTGTGTGCCCCATTCTAATGGCTACTGATTTTCTCTGCAATTCTGCGTATGTTTTGATAAATGACTTTTCCACCTGCAGGTATAAGTCAATGCTGAGAAAAGCAGTTGAAGAAAAAATTGTGGTTGATTCTACTAATCTATATGATTATTTTTTCGTTCCAACTAGAAGATATAACTCAAAAGTGACTGCAGCCCATTTGCCATATTTTGATGGTGACTATTGGTCCGGGGCTGCTGAAGGTGTGATCAAGAGCTTTGAACTAGGAAGTGGACGTGATGCTCATAAAAAGGTGAAGAAACCAATGGCAAAGAGGACTTTAAAAGCTATGGGACATACAAATCCTTCTAGCGGTGCGACTAAAGATATTCTGTTGATGCAAAAGGTATATCTCCTCTCAGCTTAAACCTTTTGTGTAAATTCTTTTTACAGTTATTATTGTAGATATCTTGTATGGTTGAGATGTGTGCTTGTTTGCCTCAAATGAGGTGGAAGATAGTGGCTTGAAAGCCGATAGGAATCAATTGAGCCTGCAAATTAAAGTCTATATCTGGTCAGCTAAGTATTACCTTATCACCCAGGTCGAGTGAACTTCTTTCTTATTACCAAAGAAGCAGAACTAGAGAAATGTGTATGATGTCAATATGGTAGTTCATTATAGCATATGGATAAGGCAGGGATATGTCTATATTCCTGTTCCGTGAATGAAAATGCCATATGCCATATGCTGTATAACAAAACGGTCAAGATTGCCCAGTATGTTGATCGTTTATAACAAAGCTGATCTATTCTAACAATGTAGATCTTTGGCTAGCTAAGAGAGCATGCATAATCAGTTTTTTAGAATCTCCACTCCTAATACTTGTATAAAAGTGAAAACTGCAAGATGATTTTGAGGATTCCAAATTAGATTGACACAGAATTGAAAGGTTATTGGTAGATGTTTATATATAGATTCGTTCTTCATAAATGTCTATTGTACAGGAAGGACAAATAAATAAATAATAATGCTTAGATATTTGTGGAAATGCATACCTATTATGTGTTTGTTGCGGCACTTGCTTGCCATAAATTTATAAAAATCTATATATTTTCGGTCAGCACTACCTAATAATCTTTAAAAGTAATCCTTTGTAATCTTTTTTAATAATCTTTTCTTTTCTTTTTGTTGCTCTCTTTCTCTTGATAGTTGGGGCAAGCCATCTTACCTGTGAAGGAGGACTTTATCATCGTCCACTTGCAGTTTGTTTGCACACACTGTCATAAAGTGATATTACATGGATGCCGATGGTTTTGCAATCAGTGTAAAAGTTTTCAACTATGTGAAAGGTAACGATTCTTCTTTGTAATTTTGTTTTCCTTACTATTGCCAGTCTGTACTAGAACTGGTCTCTTTAGTGACTATTTCATACAATACCTAGATGAAGCTCTTTTATTATGTCGTTGCAATGCCCTTAAGTGACCATGAAGTCCATCGTATGTCCTAAATTCGTTGCATTCATTTCAGATTCTGATGTCGTTTTAATATGTTAAGAATGCATAGATAAGAGTGTGATGCACATCAAATGTGAATGGTGGTTTTATTTTTATGAAAAGATGATGAGGTCCAGCACAAAGCATGAAGTCATTTTTATGAGACATGATTCACACAGACTTGCAAACAATGCTATCACTATTTACAGAATGACTTTATGATTGGCTCTGACTTGAAAGAATAAAACATAGGTCCAAATAATTACGAGTTACAAACCTCTAAAACAGCAACTTCACTGCAATCTGAACTAACCTCAGTAAGAGAACACTGAAGATTAACTATGTCTTGTATAAACTATGCTATCTCTATTTACATAATGGCTGTTCATACATTCGAATTCAGCGACATTATATCACTTTTTCTGTTGATTTTTTTTTTTTTTTTTTTAATCTTTCTATGATATATTTTTGCAGTAGTGCTGCTTGCTTTTGGCTATTGACAAAATACTGGATATAAGTTGTTCCAGGAGGATTCATTTTTATTTTTTCTTCTTTCATATTGCAGATGCCATGATGTTGAGCGAAACCGCACCTTTTTTGGTGCAAAAGATCTACCTATGTACCATGCTCAGCGACCACATAGAGCAGAGACTCTTTAAGCGTCTCCATCAGAAGAGAAAAGAAGCAAAGTTAACTGGGAAGACCTTGACGAGGTAAGTTGCCAACTGGCTTGAGGGTCATAAATCTTTTGCCTTATTTGTGGTAATTATTAATATGGGCAGCATTTCTAATATCATATATCCATCATGAATTACTGAAATTTTTGAAAACGAAAGTGATTGATTGTCATGATGAATGACAACTGGTCCATGTCTAAAACATATTCTTTAAATGAATAGAAACAACAACTTATAAAAGGAAAAGCTACACTATCCAATCATTTACCCTGAGAAAAGAGTAAATCTTATTCGCAAGTTAAGTGTAGTTTGTAGTTTAAAAAAAGGTCAACTTACATCATATGTCTCTATCATCAAATATCGTTCAATTTTAGTGATATAGCTCTTTTCATAGTATAATGAATTTAGTTTACTTGGAAATATACTTATTGCTCTCCAAGATTTGTTTCTTTCAGTAATCAAATAGTACACCCAGCAATTACTTTTGTTGTTTTTCGTTTGTGCTTTTCGTGTCACTAATCTCTCTTTTTGTCTCAACGGTTCATTATAGCTGCCTGATTGATAATATTAATGCTGTTTGATTACTAGGTTCCAAGAGCAGAAGATTCTGGCTGTAGTGGTATTATCTGTTGATAAGCTGTTAAGCAAGCCGAAGTTTTTAGAAATCTTTCAGGATGAGAATTATCCTACTGAACCCATACAGATCAAAGGTGAGATGGATTTTTAGTTAAGTGCTTTGTATGTATGCTTTTGTCTGTCATTGTCTTTCCACAATTAGAATGCCTCGTTTTTTCTTCTTAAGTTTTATGACTTCAACAATGTAATGAGATAGCACTGAATTTCTCAAGTTTTTGGAAATGGACTTCCCTCCATTTGTTACATGCTTTAAGGGAACAAAACCTCAAGGGAGGGTAGTCATGATGCCCAGACACCTGTAGAAGTTTACTTTAGTTGTTTATATTATATGCTCCTCTTGTGTCCTTTATTAGTTGATAGAGAAAATTAGCCATGTCCTTCCATTTCAGGTGATTCTTTTGTTCCAGACGATTGACGGAGTAGATATTTGCTTTTTAGCATGTATGTCCAGGAGTATGGCTCCGAATGTGGCTACCCAAACCAACGCTGTGTCTATATCTCATAAACCCCATTCAACAAGTTGCCAACCATCCTACTTCCTCATCAGTGCCTCTTTGCATGACAATGTCAACCTTTGGTTTGAAACATGATTGCTGCTTAGATAGACCAAACAACCGTTTGAGTCACTTGAAAGGTTAGCCAGTTAGCTATCAACTATAACATGATTCAACATATTGATCTTTTGTATCTATGTTTTGCTAGGTTTTACTTTTATGTCTAATAATTTTATGTCAATCTGTCTGTAGGACGACCTTTTAATGGATATGAAACTGGTGCTGCCAGCTTATTCACTGATGTCCATCAGAAGAACATTTCTTCTCCTATGGGCATGAAACAGATTGGCGAGATGATTCGTTCACCTCAACAGGCTTCAACTTCAACTGTCACCACATGCTCTAGTAGAGATGGATTTTCTCTTGTTGGATCTTTTGACAGTGAACAAGTACATGATTCAAATTTGCAGATCCCACATCTTCTAGAGATGATTCCTAAAGTCTCAAACACTCTACCCAGCCTGGACATGGACTATCATCAGCCATATGTGCAGTTTGATAAGCCTGACGAGGCCAAAGAACAATGTTACATCAGTGAAAAAGTTGAATCTGGTAATTCAACAGCGGCAGAAATTCATTGTAGGAAGACTATTCTCCCATCAGGACAATCACACAGGTTTCCTGCTGCTTCAGAGAATTCTGCACCTTTTTCTAGTTCCAAGGGACTCACAAAACATGCTCCATCAAATAATCTACTGTGTTTTTCTCTTCAGCATAAGATCTTATGCACTTATATCAATTACAAGAGTTCCATGGTGCCTACAGGGGATTGCCAAGTTTCTTTTGTGAATTATTTGCATTCAACAATATGTGATGCTCACATGTGTAGATGTGAACGTTTCTACTTACTCCTATCTCACTTTGATGACTGTCACTCGTTTGAGTGTTATGTTTGTGGACCTGTTCGACATCTATGTGGTACTGGTAAACTTCACCACGAATTTAATAATACAAAACGGAATTTCAATGATATAGATTCTGGTGGGCCTAACTCTGGCAGAATGGATTGCATGGAACGTCCATCAAAGCATTTGAAAACAGAAAAAAAAGTTTGCCCCATTTCACATGAAATCGAATTTTCTTCTTTTTGGGATCCTTTGAAGGTTCAACCTTTTTATTCTGGAGCACTTCCACCCTTGCAGCAATGGCCTGAATCTCCTATATCTATTAATTCTGAGGTCAGGGAGGTGGACAGGGAACTGTTGAGGAACACTGTACAAAATTCTATTATCGATGGAGAGAATGGGAAAGACGTTGCAGGTAACTGGTGCAGGTTGAATGCCCAGAGTGTGATTACTCCCAAGGAGCATATCGTTGGTAGTAAAATGAAGGAGGTGGACCTTAGCTGTGTTAATGAAATTGCACAGACTGATTCTAGCGAGGTGAGCTTCAGCACTGAGTCTGTTCTCGGAGAAGAGCTTAGTACTCATTGTAAAGAGGATGTACCAATCTGGACTCTCAATCAGAACGAGGCGGAGATTGGAGATGAACATGTTGCACCAAAAAATGATTGTGGAACTCAACTAAAGTCAAAGAACCCCAGGATAAAGGGTATTTCTTTAATTGAATTTTTCACAGCAGAACAAATAAGGGGGCACATATCAAGTCTTAGGCAGTGGAACAGTCAGGTTTGTACATCATGTTGATTTACTGCCTTCATTAATTGGAATTACTGTTTTGTAGTTCTGTCTGAATTTGTACACGCACTAGTATTTGGCCTTAGCATTTTGTTGATTTCTTTTGTGCAAGGTCATTGGATTAGTTTTTAGTAATATTTTAATTACTTCTTAGTGAGTTTATCCTTTGTAATTTTTCTAAAACTTTAGTTGCTGCAAAATGTTTTATCATAACAAAAGTTGTTTATAAATATGAGCAAACATTAATATACTTCTGCATCTTTTTTGATATAGACTATATCAAAGGAGGGAAGGGAAAACAAAATAATCCACAAAGACAATGGGAGCCCTTGCCAGTTGTGTGGAATAGAGAAGTTTTTTCTTGCTCCAACACCAATGTATTGTTCATATTGTGGTGGTCGTATTAAAAACAACATGATCTACTACAGCGCACCAGAAGAAAATGGCATGCGACATTGTTTCTGCACTGCATGCTATAGAGAGTGTCGTGGTGGGAGTATCACATTATATGGGATTGCTATTGCCAAGACAGAGCTGGTTAGAAAGCGGAATTATGAAGAAACTGAAGAATCGGTAAGCCAAGTCTTGATGCATTTGTTTTGCTGGATCTAAGAAATTATGGAAGATTCACTCCCTGTGCCTTTTGTGTTCTTGCAGTGGGTTCAGTGTGATAATTGTCAAGGCTGGCAACACCAGATATGTGCTCTGTTTAATAACAAAAGAGATATGAAAGGAGAAGCTGAGTACATGTGTCCGAAATGCTGCTTAGAAAAAATAGAAACTGATGATTGTTTACCCTTACCAAAGAACACCTTTTTTGGTGCAAAAGATCTACCTTGTACCATGCTTAGCGACCACATAGAGCAGAGACTCTTTAAGCGTCTCCATCAGGAAAGAGAAAAGAAAGCAAAGTTAACTGGGAAGAACCTTGACGAGGTAAGTTGCCAACTGGGCTTGAGGGTCATAAATCTTTTGCCTTATTTGTGGTAATTATTAATATGGGCAGCATTTTCTAATATTCATATATCCATCATGAATTACTGAAATTTTTTTAAAACGAAAGTGATTTGATTGTCATTGATGAATGACAACTGGTCCATGTCTAAAACATACATTCTTTTAAATGATAAGAAACAACAACTTATAAAAGGAAAAGCTACACTATTCCAATCATTTAACCCTGAGAAAAGAGTAAATCTTATTCGCAAGTTAAGTTGTAGTTTGTAGTTTAAAAAAAGGTCAACTTACATCATATGTCTCTATCATCAAATTATCTGTTCAATTTTAGTGATATAGCTCATTTTCATAGTATAATGAATTTAGTTTACTTGGAAATATACTTTATTGCTCTCCAAGATTTGTTTCTTTCAGTAATCAAATAGTACACCCAGCAATTACTTTTTGTTGTTTTTCGTTTGTGCTTTTCGTGTTACATAATCTCTCTTTTTAGTCTCAACGGTTCATTATAGCTGCCTGATTGATAATATATAATGCTGTTTGATTACTAGGTTCCAAGAGCAGAAGATCTTGCTGTTAGAGTGGTATTATCTGTTGATAAGCTGTTAAAAGCAAAGCCGAAGTTTTTAGAAATCTTTCAGGATGAGAATTATCCTACTGAATTCCCATACAGATCAAAGGTGAGATGGATTTTTAGTTAAGTGCTTTGTATGCTAATGCTTTTGCTTCTGTCATTGTCTTTCCACAATTAGAATTGCCTCGTTTTTTCTTCTTAAAGTTTTATGACATTCAACAATGTAATGAGATAGCACTGAATTTCTCAAGTTTTTGGAAATGGACTTCTCCCTCCATTTGTTACATGCATTGAAGGGAACAAAACCTCAAGGGAGGGTAGTCATGATGCCCAGACACCTGTAGAAGTTTACTTTATGTTGTTTATATTATATGCTCCTCTTGTTTCCTTTATTAGTTGATAGAGAAAATTAGCCATGTCCTTCCATTTCAGGTGATTCTTTTGTTCCAGACGATTGACGGAGTAGATATTTGCCTTTTTAGCATGTATGTCCAGGAGTATGGCTCCGAATGTGGCTACCCAAACCAACGCTGTGTCTATATCTCATATCTTGATTCAGTCAAGTACTTTAGACCTGAGACACAAACATCAACTGGAGAATCTCTTCGTACCTTTGTTTACCATGAAATTTTGGTATATTATTTTATTTCTTAATTTACTTGCTTGATTTCTTAAAATATCAATGCATCTAGTTTAATAAAAAGAATTGACCGCTTACACTACTTTTATTGCCATCATCAGATAGGATATCTTGAATACTGTAAAAAACGAGGTTTTGGAACCTGCTACATATGGGCCTGTCCTCCTGTAAAGGGAGAAGATTATATTTTATACTGCCATCCGGAGACTCAGAAGACTCCCAAGTCAGATAAGCTGCGGCAATGGTTGGCCTCTCTATCTCTCTCTAAAGATTTTCCTCCATATCATGATGTTTAGTTGCACTCTAGTACTTCACATGCAACCTAACCTTTTCTGGCCACTCTGAACACTTGTGTGCCCCATTCTAATGGCTACTGATTTTCTCTGCAATTCTGCGTATGTTTTGATAAATGACTTTTCCACCTGCAGGTATAAGTCAATGCTGAGAAAAGCAGTTGAAGAAAAAATTGTGGTTGATTCTACTAATCTATATGATTATTTTTTCGTTCCAACTAGAAGATATAACTCAAAAGTGACTGCAGCCCATTTGCCATATTTTGATGGTGACTATTGGTCCGGGGCTGCTGAAGGTGTGATCAAGAGCTTTGAACTAGGAAGTGGACGTGATGCTCATAAAAAGGTGAAGAAACCAATGGCAAAGAGGACTTTAAAAGCTATGGGACATACAAATCCTTCTAGCGGTGCGACTAAAGATATTCTGTTGATGCAAAAGGTATATCTCCTCTCAGCTTAAACCTTTTGTGTAAATTCTTTTTACAGTTATTATTGTAGATATCTTGTATGGTTGAGATGTGTGCTTGTTTGCCTCAAATGAGGTGGAAGATAGTGGCTTGAAAGCCGATAGGAATCAATTGAGCCTGCAAATTAAAGTCTATATCTGGTCAGCTAAGTATTACCTTATCACCCAGGTCGAGTGAACTTCTTTCTTATTACCAAAGAAGCAGAACTAGAGAAATGTGTATGATGTCAATATGGTAGTTCATTATAGCATATGGATAAGGCAGGGATATGTCTATATTCCTGTTCCGTGAATGAAAATGCCATATGCCATATGCTGTATAACAAAACGGTCAAGATTGCCCAGTATGTTGATCGTTTATAACAAAGCTGATCTATTCTAACAATGTAGATCTTTGGCTAGCTAAGAGAGCATGCATAATCAGTTTTTTAGAATCTCCACTCCTAATACTTGTATAAAAGTGAAAACTGCAAGATGATTTTGAGGATTCCAAATTAGATTGACACAGAATTGAAAGGTTATTGGTAGATGTTTATATATAGATTCGTTCTTCATAAATGTCTATTGTACAGGAAGGACAAATAAATAAATAATAATGCTTAGATATTTGTGGAAATGCATACCTATTATGTGTTTGTTGCGGCACTTGCTTGCCATAAATTTATAAAAATCTATATATTTTCGGTCAGCACTACCTAATAATCTTTAAAAGTAATCCTTTGTAATCTTTTTTAATAATCTTTTCTTTTCTTTTTGTTGCTCTCTTTCTCTTGATAGTTGGGGCAAGCCATCTTACCTGTGAAGGAGGACTTTATCATCGTCCACTTGCAGTTTGTTTGCACACACTGTCATAAAGTGATATTACATGGATGCCGATGGTTTTGCAATCAGTGTAAAAGTTTTCAACTATGTGAAAGGTAACGATTCTTCTTTGTAATTTTGTTTTCCTTACTATTGCCAGTCTGTACTAGAACTGGTCTCTTTAGTGACTATTTCATACAATACCTAGATGAAGCTCTTTTATTATGTCGTTGCAATGCCCTTAAGTGACCATGAAGTCCATCGTATGTCCTAAATTCGTTGCATTCATTTCAGATTCTGATGTCGTTTTAATATGTTAAGAATGCATAGATAAGAGTGTGATGCACATCAAATGTGAATGGTGGTTTTATTTTTATGAAAAGATGATGAGGTCCAGCACAAAGCATGAAGTCATTTTTATGAGACATGATTCACACAGACTTGCAAACAATGCTATCACTATTTACAGAATGACTTTATGATTGGCTCTGACTTGAAAGAATAAAACATAGGTCCAAATAATTACGAGTTACAAACCTCTAAAACAGCAACTTCACTGCAATCTGAACTAACCTCAGTAAGAGAACACTGAAGATTAACTATGTCTTGTATAAACTATGCTATCTCTATTTACATAATGGCTGTTCATACATTCGAATTCAGCGACATTATATCACTTTTTCTGTTGATTTTTTTTTTTTTTTTTTTAATCTTTCTATGATATATTTTTGCAGTAGTGCTGCTTGCTTTTGGCTATTGACAAAATACTGGATATAAGTTGTTCCAGGAGGATTCATTTTTATTTTTTCTTCTTTCATATTGCAGATGCCATGATGTTGAGCGAAACCTGAATGGGCAAGATGTTCACGTTTTAAATAGCAGGGAAACGCATTTACTTTCTAAGGTGAATTTAAGTCCCAAATCTCAGTTATGCTTCTTTATAATTGTGAATTTGGCATTTCTAATACATATTCCATTTAAGTTATTCCCATTCTTATAACTGTTTTCTCTTTTCAGGTTATCGTTGATAATGTGCCACCTGATACCAATGACAGAGATGTTATTCTAGATAATAGCTTATTTGATAATAGAAGTGATTTCTTGAGCTTCTGTCAAAGAAACTCTTATCAATTTGACTCACTTCGCCGGGCGAAGCATTCTTCAATGATGATCTTATATCATCTCCACAATCCAAATATGCATATTCCTGAGGGCTTCTGCAGCTTTTGCGACAAGGACACTTATATGGACCACTGCTGGTTTTGTGAGATCTGTCCACAGTTTGAAGTTTGTGCTGCATGCTATCAGGAAAAGGGTGCTTCTTTGCATATTCATAAATTGAGGCAGCGTTCTTGTGCAGCTAATTCTGGGACACTGAGTAAAGAGATTTCACAAGGAAAAGAGCCGGTATGGAGAAACTCTTCTCAAATGTTGCATCTTTTAACGTTATCAGCTTAAGTAATTTAATTTATGCTTAAATTTAAACTTCTCTCATGTGTCCGTATCAATCACTTTACATGCCCATGGATTTGGACTTTACCTGCTACCTCTGCTCCTTGCATTTCATGTATAATATTGGATATATGAAGTTACTTACATGTCAATTTATCTCTGCAGACAATACAGTCAACACGACTACTAGATGTTCTCCGGCATGCATCTATATGTAATGCAACCAAAAGCCAGCCTTGCTCTTTCCCAAACTGCCTTGAAATAAAAATGTTGTTCATTCATGCATGTAAGTGTAGAGTTCGAGCCACAGGGGGGTGCTGGTACTGTAAAAAGGCTTGGTTGACACTGAAGCTGCATTCAAGTAATTGTAAAGAATCTAATTGCAGCGTACCACGATGCAAGTGCGTAAATACTTTGATTTTCAAGCTACAAAATGTTGAATCTTATATTAGTTGAAATAGTTGTGAAAACATCAACTTAATATGCTTTTATTCATCTTAAATTTTGCAGGGATCTGAAGAAGCATGTCGAACGGCTCACTCAACAAAATCTTAGATTCTTAACGTCATCAGGAGCTGAAGTTTCAGAACCACTCAAACAGAAAGCAGGTTTAGGTTGCTGAGAACATTTTGACAAATCACAAATGTATAGACAGTCAACAGCAGTAGCAGCATTCAAGTATATAAAATATTCCATAATTACATTATAGAATATTGAGAAATTCATCAAGGGAAGTCATTTACATAATAAGGTTTTGTTTCCTTTGGCAGAGTTGATAATAATATGGTCTGAAGCTTGCTTATTTTAAAGCGTCAGCCTTTGATATTTACCTTTTACCATCAAATATCAATGTTATTGTAAACGAGAAATGTTCTTTAATTTTATTATCATATGGATTCATTCCACTTTTCTGTTGAATGTAATTTCATGGTTTTAGGTTGAAACGCAGGGAGATGCCCATTTAACAAGTTTTCACCAAAGCATAAATTCTTGATTATTTGAATTTAGAAGAAAGAGGAAATAAACTACGATGGTGAAGGTGTATAGAAGAAAAGGTAAGGGAGTTGGCAGCAGATAAAAACGGAGGTGATAGGAAGATTCTTATTGTAGAAAGATGTTAATTGGGCCGGGACAGATGGCATATACTGGTTGGTCAGGACGGGAAATTCGGTTATTGAGAGAGAACAAGATGAGAACAAAAGAAAGGAGAAAGAGAGAACTGTTTTATTGAAGAAGAAGTTGGGATGGGGAGGAACTAGCACTCAGAGTCTAGTATTTAGGGAGGAACTGGCCAAGTCCAGCACTGTCTGTGTTTCTTTTATTTGAGTTTTGGGCGTTATTTGATTGTGTAGTTGGCTGGTTTTTTTGCCGGTTAGTTGTCTATGTATTTTGTTTGCTGGAATATCAATACAAAAGTCTCCTAGTTCCTGGGTTTTGGTTACTGTTACTGCTATTTTCTGGGCTTTTGCTGCTTGTTCTTAATGCGGCTGGTTGAGTTGGGAAAGGTATCTATCAAAGGCTAATAATTGAGTGTCAATAGCATCACTCTTAATTTAATTCATTTATTTTCTTCTTTTGAGTTCTGAGTTTTGAGCAGATGTAGCAGAAATGGCTTCAAGGAAAGAAAAAATAAATAAATTAAAGAGCAAAGCAATCAAACAATCATTCCGGCATCCTTAAAAATACAATTTGGTACAGACAATTTGCTTAGAAAAAGCTGAGTCCAGTGATAAATAAGGCACTGGTCATTGCTACATCCAAACTATCTACGATCGATTCTTAGAAAAAAAAAAAAAAAATACTAAAAACATCCCGAATCCTAACAAAATAAAAATAGAAACAGAGGGCTACTAAATCCCAACCCCTATCTTCAATTAAAGACCTCCGTGGTCATAACTACAGTTTCAATTGTTAATACACACTACTACACATCAAATAACTCCCTAACACCAAACCTAACAAAGTTTTATGCCATCACCAATGAGGTACAGCACAGAAGGTCAGCAACTGCAACATTATGTTGTGAAGAATGTCCAAAGTTTCTTTCCTATCGAGGCTTCGCCCGGATGTTCATATTCCTCGCCATCCTCCTCCTCGCTGTCCAACCCAACTCCTCCACCTTCTCTCTGAGATTCACTCTTGCACTCAATTACATTGCCATACTCCCCCACTTCCTCTGGTGTCCCACTCACCTCTTCACTTAATGCCATATTCTCAACTAAATTTTTTGATGCATCCCCCTCACCACACTGTCACATCAAGTCAGGTTCACATACAATCAAACACACCGTTAACAACTTACTTCAGATGCCATACAAAGATACTTACAATTAATTAATAAGATATCCAAGTCATTCACACCAATCTAACAAACCTTATATAACCACATTTACTAGACAATGATTATAGTGCCCTTACCCGCTCTAAATGCATGCTTTTGCCATATTCACTAACAACTTCCACTGAACGTGCAGGAACAACTCTGCAGCACGAAATCTCATCCTCCTGTGCGCCTCCAACAGCTTCAGACCCTTCCTCCCTTCCTTTCTTTGGCTCAGACGTGGTTCTAGCCGCTGCACCAGTGACTCCACTGAAAATTATTCAACAAAATCCATGTGTCAGAAGCCTGGAGATGAATATTTAAAAAAAAAAAAAAAAAAATTGAATTTGAATTGTACAGAGACAATACAATAGAGCATTTTAAAAATCAATAAAGTTATGCTCACTTGAAAAAGTATGGTAACAAAGTTTTAGTTTTTATGCATTGGAAGGTGCTAGGAAGGATAATGCCCAAAAAAGATTACTCTGGGTAAGTTATTCTACCACATAAGAAACAAAAAATTGAGAACCTACGTTTTGGGACGCCGGAGGTTATATCGAGTCCCAACTGGAGTCTGCACAGCTGAAGAAACTTTTTGGCGCCTCTTCTTGTGCTGGCCAGCCACAACACTTCCAGATTGTCCTTCACTATCACCACCATCATGCTCACTCAACGTAGTTTGAGATGTCTTAGCACGGTTCCGCTTCCGTGCATTTCTTGATGTTCCTTTATCAGCATGAATAGATTCACCCCGGCTTTCAGTAATCTCATGGCCAGAATCCTCAGTATTCCCATTTGGATGCTCAATCTCATCTGAGTTAAAGCCTTCCCCAAGTATAGCCTTAGCATCTTGTACAACTGCCTTTACAGAGCGTGTTCTACTAACTCTGGGCCTGCCTCTCCTCCGAGGCTGTCGACCATGATCAATAGGCTGGGAATCTTCCTCAACTTCTGTTACCTTACCATTGATGTTGCTCTGGTCATCAACCATCTTATCCTGGCCAACCTCACCCCCTCTGGTGCTTGTCTCAGATTGGACCCTAGGAACATCATAAGAATCATTTACAATTGCAAAAGATAGCTCTGGCTCATTTGAAGTGCAACCTAACATATTTGATGGTTCTTCTACACAAAACTGCCCACCAGAAGGAGTTGCATCCTCTGTCAACTCTTGAACAGCAGTATGGTCAATCATCTTAGTTGGAGAAAACTTGAATATCTTTGAAGTGCATTTACGAAGCCAAGACATAGTTCCAGCAGAAACAGGAGATCCTGAACCAACATTCGGACTATTCTCATTATTTTTACTCTCTGTAGCAATTCCATGAACACCTTCATTGACATAATCATTAGCCAAACTTGGAAGAGGAGGGACATCTGCACTCACAATTTCCTGGACTAAATCAGAAAACTTGTACTCGGAAGTTATTTCAGCACAGTTCTTGCAACTCTTGTGTTTCTCAACAAAGGTAAGGAAGTGGTCTCGCTCCTGCACAAGTTGTTCCCGTTGCCCCTTCAATGTTTCCGTTAGGTCAACAAGCATGTCAATGTCTTTACGAATTCCAACTTTTTCCTCATCAAAATGCTTTCTGTGTGCCTCATTTTCTTGCTTTTCTTTTTCTAATTTAACTCTTTCTAGTTTCATTTCTTCCATCTCTTTTCTAGCTACATCCCTCAAATAATTAATATTGCTTAGTTCCCGCTCTTTTTCCTCCTCAAACAATTTCTCCTTCTCTTGCAAATCTTTTTCCAACTCCTCTTGCCTATTCTGCATATTAGTTTCAAGTTCTCTTTTCCGCAGCTCAAAATCACGAAGTAGTTGCCTTCTGTCACTTTCAGCTTTCTCCATTATGACTGACCGCTCATGCTCCATGGAGGCCTTAAATGATTCCTTCGACACTTCAAGAGCTTCCAACTCCCTTTTGATATAATCCTCAGCCACCTGCTTTTCTTTTCTTAACCTTTCTTCTTCAGAATGTCTCTCTTTATCTAGTTTTTCCTTCTGTCCATTAATTTTCTTCAATTCTTCCTCAACCGCAGCTCTTTTCTCATCCAGCTCTTCCCACTCTCTCTCAAAACTCTCCTTCTGCTGCTTTAAATCCTCAGTTTCCTTCAAAAGAAGTTCTTGCCGAAGCCTGCAATTCTCTATTTCCTCTTTTAGTTCTGATTGCAATTGAAGACATTCAGCCCTCTCTTCTTCACTTACCTTGAGTTGATCCCTTGCTTCATGTATCTTTAACAGTTCTTGTTCATTTTCAACTTTTAACCTTTCAAGTTCAGCCTTAAGACTCAGAAAACCCTCTTTATCAGCAAGCAGTTGTTTCTTCTCAGTCTCCAAGTTCTTCTCCTCAGATCGAATAGTCTTCTCCCTATCCTTCAAAGCTTTCACCTTTGATTCAAAGTCCTTCTCTTTCTCCTTAAACTTCTCCAATTTCTTATCCAATGCCAGCTCTCTTTTAGCAATTTTCTCCTCCTTGTGATTGATTTCATTTTCCTTCTTTTCCACTTCAATCACCTTGCTTTTCAAATCATCATCCACAGATTTCCTCTTTTGTTCAATTTCTAAATCAAATTCCCTTTGCTTTGCATCTAAACTGGCTTGGTGTTCTTCAAGCAGTTTCTCAGTTTCAAGCTGCAAAAATTTCACCAAAAAATAAAAGAGTCAAATTCATGATCTTTTATGACAGACTGATCCCAGAGAAAAGAGAAATGAAAAATAAATAAACTAATGACAACTCAATCTTATAATGCTCTGTGCTTTAATTTTAGTGGTTGGTACAGGATTTCTCATTTTAGCATGCAAATGTTTACATACATGAACAGTAACACTTACTTCTAGAAAGAGGCAAAGAAAAGAATATTTACTAGGAATATAATTATGATTCTGAAAGCAAGAAAATCAGGAAACTTTTCACAAAAAAAAAAAAAAGAAAAAAGAAAAAAGAAAAGCTGACACTATCCCTCTGCACAATCGTCCACCACTCTAGTCAGCCCATACCCATAAAAGAAGAGAAAAAATATCTAGAGTTGCTGCCCACCTAGATTTGGAGAACTCTTATTGTTAAATAGACCATTACACTCTCACACTGGCTGCTTTTATTAATCAAAGCCCAGCCGTATGCCAAATTAAGGTCGTATGTGTTGTTACATTTGACTGACCACATTACACCCATAACAAGACTAGTTTCCTTTTAAATTTCTGATAAAATCAAAACATTATCAGTTGACAAAGTGCATTTTTTCCCATCACCATTTCTTATATCACAAAAAAAACCAATTGAAAGCACTGACCATTTCTCTAGCTTTCAGCTTTTCTTCCAGTTTAAGTAGCTCATCCTCTTTCACCTCCAAGTTCTTTCTCGTAGCATCATATTCCTGCATCAATATGAAAAAAGCATATTAAAATAAATTAAATNTCGTCCACCACTCTAGTCAGCCCATACCCATAAAAGAAGAGAAAAAATATCTAGAGTTGCTGCCCACCTAGATTTGGAGAACTCTTATTGTTAAATAGACCATTACACTCTCACACTGGCTGCTTTTA